GGTTTTTAATCAAAATTGACCGTGAAAGATCATTCAACGCATTATTTTAATCGTGAAAGAAAAGGCGTGACCAGACTTAATGATCAGAAATGCTATATATAACTAAGGCATCCACAATTCTAAGACCTCCAGAAGCGTAAATTGTCTTCAACTGTTTCGGTTCTTATACGTTCTCAGCTTTCAAATATTCGTCTTTGAGCGTTCCTGATGAAGGCAGTTCCAGAAAAGCGCATCGGACGCATGACATTATATAACGTGTTGTTTTCATTTTTGTCGAAAAGTAAATATCTTTGAATATAGAATGCGTAATGCATTCACAAATGAGTGCCTCATGTTTAGACATAAACCCACGACTTTTTAACTTTATAAACTGGAGCTCATGTTTTCAAAGTCGTGCGCACCAGTTCTTGAAAGTCTCCGTAACTATGCTTTATTATACAGATTTCATTATCAACTACAAAAACTTTTTTGTTGGCGTCTTCATTTGGTTTAATTGTCAGTGTGTTTCAACGTCAAATTAAGTTGTGTAGTATGTCTTAGATGTATGTTTACACAGTTTTGGCTGCTTGATCCCAGATAAGGCCACGTTTTCCAATTATATCTGTATGTGTTGCTCACCCAATTTAGCAATATTAAGGAATATTAAACAACTGTCATATATACGTGGGCGTATCAGATAGCTAGAAAACCAGATTAAACCCACTGTGCCAAGTCAAGAATATGACAGTTTTTTTTTCTGTTGTTTTTTTTAAACAATGTTTGTTCTCATTTTTACAAAAAATCAACTAGGATCTTCGTTTTATAGATATGAATGGGGGCATTAACTCCGATGTCTCGTGTGAAGACGCCCCCATTCCGACCAGACATGGCTGAGAATTTATACATCCTGCACAGAAAAACGAACACCCTGGCAATTTTGCCGTATAGAAGGCAAAATATGAAACAATTCAAAGAGAACTTAAAGCTCGGTGTAATACAATGAAAATAAACGGGAAACAATTACAACATGCAGAAAACAACGACAACCATGGACTGTATCTGTACCAGACAGGCACATAATGTTGTGGGGTAAACATGTATTTGAGAACTATAACCGGGAAAGAGGTGTAACAGTATAAAAGGAGAGGGCAATCATGAATCATCCAATCCAAAGTACAAAAAAAAACCGAAAATATCAAATGAAAAAAGACACAAAGCACCCAAATTAGAGTAACCACAGTAACTGAAAACTAGTTGAAAGCCCAACTTTGAGTAATAAATAGACTTATATTCTTGACTAGGTACGATTCTGGTATGACATTTACTTCGATGCTTATCTTTTAAAGATGGATGGTGTCATAAACCATAGTTCTTCAAGGGAATCATAGTAGTTAGTGTAATGAAGTATATTTCTTTAATGGAATCATATTTGATAATGACTGGTGTCACAAACCATAATTCTTGAAGTGGATAATATTTTTATGGTGTTTGATGTCATAGAGTATAATTCTTGAATGGGATCATATTTCATAGTGACTGATTTAATACTTTGAAACCATAATTCTTGAAGGGGTCCATAGTTAATGATGGTTGTTGTCATACACCATGATTCTTGAAGGGAATCATATTTGATGTTGACTGGTGTAATAAACCATAATTCTAAAAGGCAATCTTTGTGATGATGGTTGGTGTCATAAAGTATAATTCTTGAAGGGTATCATATATGATGTTGACTAGTGTGAAACCGTTTATCACGCCAAACTCCATCAAATTTGATTCCCTTAAAAAATTATGGTATATTTCATTAGTCAAAATCAAATGTGATTCCCTTCAAGAATAATGGTTGATGACACAAACATCATCAAATAAGATTTCATCCAAGAGTTATGCTTTAAGACACAAAATGCCATCAAAATTAGTTCCCTTTAAAAAAAATGGTTGGTTGATGAGATAAACCATAATTTTTAGGGGAATCATATTTGATGGTGGTTGGTGTCATAAAACATATTTTTTAATTGTTTACCATCAATGTATCATTAATGATATTCACAAGATTTGTGGTAGTTATTTTTATGCCCCACCTAGGGGCATTATGTTTTTCGGTCCGTCCGTCCATCCGTCCGTCTGTCCGTTCGTCCGTCTGTCCTGCTTCAGGTTAAAGTTTTTGGTCAAGGTAGTATTTGGTGAAGTTGAAGTCCAATCAACTTGAAACTTGGTACAAATATTCCCTATGATATGATCTTTTAAATTTTAATGCCAAATTAGAGTTTTTACCCCAATTTCACGGTTCACTGAACATAGAAAACGATAGTGCGAGTGGGGCATCCGTGTACTATAGAAACATTCTTGTTGAATCTTTGTTCGGTTTTTATTTAACAAATAGCCACTCTGTGTTTGACAATTGTAAATTGCATTAGAAAAATGGTCTTGCCATGGTTGATTATTGTAATTTCATTTAAAAAGTTGTCATACCATGGATTCAGATTATAAGGTCAACAGTCTTAATTCTTAATACTAACTATTTCTGCAAAATTTGACTTGTTTGTACATTTTGTCTTGCTGATCATTTTTTTTTGTTCAAAGTTTCTATCTATATTTTATAGTTTTCAAGATAATAAGCAAAAATGCCAAAAATTAGTAAAAATCGTCATTAAAGAGCAAAAACTCCTGTAATGAGTTGACTAACAATATGGACCATGATGATTATTGTAGATCTTATCTTGCTGAACATTTTTGCTATATAAAGTGTCTATCTGTATATAATAGTTTTCAAGATAACAGGCAAAAACACTAAAAATTGGTAAAAATCGTCATTAAAGAGCAACAACTCCAATAATGAGTCGACTGACTATTTCAATCATGTTGACTCATTTGTAGATCTTGTCTTGCTAATCATTATTGCTATTTAAAGTGTCTATTTATCTATTATATTTTTTCAAGATAATAGGCAAAAACACTAAAAATTGGTAAAAATCGTTATTAAAGAGAAATAACTCTAATAAAAATTCGACTGAAAAATTCGACTGATTTGTAGATCTTGTCTTGCTGATCATTTTTGCTATTTTAAAGTTTCTCTCTATTATACTTGTGCATATTAAAATTGTTGCCAAAATAAAATTAAATCTTAAGAATGCATCTAATCAGAAGTTAGTAAAATGTTTATGTACAAAAAAAAATATTAGGAAATCCATAAGTGTAGTTCCTCCTGCTTATAACCCTGGAATGAAATTTAAAAAAATTTCAATTTCAAAAGATATCTTACTTTCACCAATTCCAGCAAATCTGTAAAGTTTTTATTAAATCCATCTAACCATACTCTAGTTATGATACAACACGTGAAAAATTATCAGAAATCTTACAGCTAAAGACCCACAACTCTGGATCGACACAACCAAAAAATTTCAACTTTCATCCACCCATTCCAGTATATCATTAAAAAAAACCTGTTTCATCATGTTTGATCTTAGCATTCTATAGTTTTTTGTACAACATGCCAATGGATGGACAGAAGTATGTCATAATATGTTCTGTCACTGACAGCATCAGCAAATATTTTTTGAAACTATACAACCTAAGGATGATTATGCAAAGTTTGGTTTTATTTAGACATTAGGTTTCAGAGATTTGTGGAAAACTTCTGACAACAAATGACAAGCACCAAACATTGAGATAAGAGAACAGTCGCAGTGCCAAATTTCTGTGCAATGTGTTATAAAGTTTATACTAACTTTTCATGAATTCAAATCACACCTCAAAAGACAATTCAATACGACAGCAAAACCTGTCAAAAATGACACTGTCCGGACTGAAAACCAAAGACAACAATGTGATAAATCACATTTTGATGTATGAAAATTGCTATTTCCAGCATTAAAAAATTATTTTCATCAAAAATGTTCGAAAAACAATACTTTTTATTTAAAATTAGAGCAAAGTTCCTGATTCCAAGGCGATCCTCTTTTCATCGATACAATCATCATCAGCTTCACCATTGCATTTCACTAATCCTCTCTGTATCAATTTTTTCTAATATGTTGCTAATTTTCATTGCCAATCTACACATTCAGTTTTTTGAGTGGAACATAATCATCCAGCTCATCCACTGATGGGGTACCTACAAGGAACTCTGCACAATTGTAGAAGAATTTAAATTGGGATAATTGCCTTCGGATTCAGCTATCACCTCTATGTTGGGTTTCAAAGACAATTCTTTACCATTTTGTTTTGTCGAAAGTGTATCATTTCTGTTTTTCTCTATTCACGCTTTGGAGTTTCCAATTTCAATGATTTTTTAAATGACTATAATAATTCACTTTCTCATGTGAACACTTTTCAATTCGTATACAAAAGTTAAAAATCACCTCAAGGGCACCCCAATTCAAACATTGTTATCATCTGAGGTAAACAATTTCTACATGTAAAACATGTGAAAACACTGGACATCCATTACTGTAAATTCAGAAATTATCGCAAGGTTTTAATTATTGTGAATAATGCGACTGGGTGAGTATCGCAATAATAAGAACTCGCATTCTAATAACTGAAACAAAGATCTGTATGTAGATTTTTTCGAAATCGCAATAATTAAACTCGCATTTTTGTCCATTCTTGAAAAATCACAAAAATAAATGCACGCAATAATTTCTGAATTTACAGTATGTAAAACAATTATTTTCCTATAAGTATTGATCCTTTTATCTGTTTTGACAGGGATTATTGCAATACATATCCCGAATCAGAACTTTAAAATGAGTTCGATATTTCAGGGTTGAAAAGTTTCTGCTTACACAGTCTAGCTTTTACAACACAAATAGGGAATTACAACTGGACTTTGAAATTAATTCGGTTTAGCATGAAATTCTGTTTTGTCTTGGTTTGATTGAGTCAGTTTTCACTGTAAATCATAAACATGTACAACACAAATGCAAATGTAGATACATGTATGTGTCATAGGGTAATCCTAGATTTTTTTTTACTCCAATTATCCTGAGATTCATACAAAAGTAAGAATTAAAAATATCTAGTGTTTATAATATCATGAGACTTTATTTTATTATTATTTTATTGTCGTTATAAAAATATGGAGATGTGGTATGATTGTCTATAATTGCCCTATGTCATGATTTTGATGATTCTTTCAAAGAGTTCAGAGTGTCTTCAGACTTGTTCACTGAATATTTACAAGACATAAGCAGGGCTGAAAAGAAAAAAGACACAATCTTACTATGTAATATTAAACCAATAAATACTTGCACAAAAAGTAGCTTAAAATATGTAAATGTTATTATGTACCAGTAATTAAAATATAATTTCCCCATTAATAGTATTCTATGATATCAGGTGAAAACACTGGTTTAACAAAATATGTGTGCTGATTGTTTTTAGCTGTTTGATTGATTAAATTGTAACACTAGAAGTCAATAACAATTTATTTTGTTCCAGTTGCTGTCTCATTGACATATCCCCTACATCTCCTTTTGTTCATATTCAGAATTCATATCACCAACGGTTAAAATTGGCCCTAAGATATTTTATATTTTCCTTTAAACAGGCTTAAATACTACAAATTTCACTTAGAAATAGTTGTGATATTACTATTAATTCAAAATAATTTCTTTTTCACATATCACATTATAAATGACAAAGTTATGACCACTTAATTAAGCATTATTTATTATGAAACATCAGTTTTGGTCAAATTTTAAAAATAATTCTTAACAATTTTTAGCATAATTAACCCTGGCTGCCACCCTTGATCCAGGAATTTTTGTGTCTAGGGATTCAAGATCATCATTGACATCTTTTTGGATCGTAGGTTGTGGCCAAGTGTTTCTGAAGCTTTTAGGTCTGAAAAATGCACAAAATCATTGTATTTTGACTATATATCCAAAAAGTGCTGACTTTAAAGCCTGGAATGTACTCTCATGAACTGAATATAGATTTGTTTAACCTAGTAGTAAGGATTTTGTAATAGACCCATTTCAGAACCAAATTATGGCAAAATTTACATTTTATGATAAAGTTGAAATTCAAGGCCATAGTTGGCCTAAAGTGAATCATGTCCTTTAGGATATTGAAAGTAATCTGTACAATTTCAGAGGATCTTGATGGGATTTTAAAACAGAATAGAAAATAATGGGGAAAAAAAGGATGAATAAAAATCTAAAGAATAGAAAAAAAAGGCAAAAAAAATTAAGAATACAGAAATGTTTACTTTTTTTGTTATCAATGAAGACTGAATTTCTAAAATATCTATCTTCATCATTACCACTTTGAAGGGCTTTTGAGCTTACCCTGTGGCATTTGCTAGTGTTCATTGACAAGAGTTTTAAGGTAACATTTAGATATTTTTATTCTCATGTTGTTACTGATTGATTTTGTTTCAATGACAATTTCCCCAAATCATCTTACTTTTCAGTGATGACTTGATTCATAATTGAATAATATACCTTCCAGTTCTTCTGAGGCGTCAGACAATATAGATTCTTCAAATTTATTTGATGGTTCCCAGTATTCATCTGGTACCCATTTTGATGGTTTTGGCAAGTGGCTCAGTGATTCACTTTCTTGTCTTGCTACAAAAAGGAAATCAATCTACAATATTATTTTATCATTTTCAAATAATCAAATACCAAAATGACAACCTAATGACTTTTTGAACAATCTACATTATTTTATCATTTTCAACTTGTCAAATATCAAAATGACATCCTAAATGACTTTTTGAACAATATACATTATTTTATCATTTTCAACTGGTCAAATACCAAAATGGCAACCTAAATGACTTTTTGAACACACAGAAATAAATTAAACCATTAAAACAGATATGGTCATAAAACATGCTACATGTATTTGCTTTTTTGAAATGAAGAATGAAAACTTTGATGACAATATATTTCATTTCTCGACAATGACTGTATAATCAAAATTAAGGATTGGTAAATTTACAAAGAATAGTACTAAAATGAAACTATTCATATCTGCATTAAGCAGAAAATCTACAATACTTTATGTGTTTTTGTCATTTTATCTTATTGTGTCAGTTTAATAATACATGTATTTATATTTTGTAGTATTTTTTTGGTTTTGTTGGACAATAAAGTAAATAACAAATTTCAAAATTTTGTCTAGACCTGGCAAGGGATCAAACCAGGGACCTCCTGCACTAGAGGAAATAATTCCACCATAAGAATCTTATATACCACTGGTGAAAGTAAATATTTTGTCTATTGGTCACAGTATCCATTATCAAAATTGGGCAAAAACCAACACCATAAATTACATAATGTAAGTCATAACAGGTCATGTGTAAACCAAGAGTGAACAATTTTAAAGGGAACGAATAGTGACTTTGTTTAAATCAATTACAGAATTAGAGAAAATATAAAAATAACATAGTATAAAAATACTGAGTACTATCTTTTAAGTACACTGACTGCAAAAAAAAGTTGTCAAAATGTATTGGAAGTGGTTTAAATATTAAACCTTAAAAAAGCAAACAAATAAACACATTACGCACCTTCAAGGGCCTCTTCTATCTTCTGACACAGCTGAAATACTTCACTGCCTCTTCCTATCAGTTTCTCACCTAAGAAAACATAAAAATGAATATAAATTTGTAAAGTTTAATAAATAAAAAATAAACATAGGTTTCAATAAATAAAAAATAAAAATGACTTTCAGTAAATAAAAATATAGAATATTGTACATTTAATTATATATTGTATTTTGAAAGATTTTTAAGAATTTAATTTAACTATCAACTTATTTCATAGATTTTTTTTTAAATCAGACTCTTGGTATAGTTTTCCATTTAACAGATAAAAATTTAATCATAGTTGATCATATTTTTATGCCCCACCTACGACAGTAGAGGGGCATTATGTTTTTCGGTCTGTGCATCCGTTAGTTCGTTCGTTCGTTCGTTCGTCCGTTCATCCGTCTGTCCTGCTTCAGGTTAAAGTTTTTGGTCAAGGTAGTTTTTGATGAAGTTGAAGTCTAATCAACTTGAAACTTACTACACGTGTTCCCTATAATATGATCTTTCTAATTTTAATGCCAAATTAAGAGTTTTGACCCCAATTTCACGGTCCACTGAACATAGAAAATGATAGTGCGAGTGGGGCATCCGTGTACTATGGACACATTCTTGTTTAATAATGTATAAGAAGTAAATGGTAGTTAGAATAGTTAAGAATTTTTCGCTATAAAATTAAATCTTTTGCCTTCGTATTAGTTTGTTTTATAAATTATATCCTTATTTTCTAGTTACATGAAAGCTTGTAATTATAAAATTACCTCCATGATATATGGTCTAGATAGGAAAAAAAGGGGGGAGGGGCTTTGTCTGCACATTAAACTGGTTTAATCCCCACCACTATTGTTTCTGTACCAGGCTATCTGGATCATGTGTTGTTTGTTATTATTTGTCTTTGTGGTTGATACTGTCTGTTATACAGTCCAGTATTATTTTTAATTCCTGTTACAGCTCTTCTATAAAAGCATGCAAAGCAAACCTTTGATCAACTTGCTTGCTATGTTTGTTTGGAAGTTTGTAAACAAAAGGTAGGTAGTCTGTTTCAGTCTATTTACTATATACTGGAATTTGATTGGACAATAAACATTAACTTCATTGCATGTCAATTTTTATTTTCTAATCAAATTCCAGTATATACAAAACAGACTGAAACTCCGCCTACCTATTGTTTGCAAACATCCAAGCAAACATAGCAAGCAAGTTGATCAAAGGTTTGCTTTGCATGCTTTTATAGAAGAGCTGTAATCTTTTTATGTTATCTCCTGTTTACCAAAAATTTCATTAATCATCAGTCCATCAGTGGTAATTTTTATGATGAATATGCTATTTATTTTATTTCTATTGTTACTGTAAAAGTTTTTGTTTCTGTATTACCATCAAGCCATTCCAGGTTTGGGAACATGCTGATCATATCTGTTCTGTAATTCTTGTTCATACATACAGGATTAAACAAATCATGAGTCCTATCACACAGTCTCAGAGTTTTCAGTTTGTCTAGTCCGGTAAGACATCTCAAATGATCAATACTGAAAAAAATAGGACAATACAGTTACAAAAGTTTCATACTTTGTGTAGATATATTGAAAAAAAGTAAACTTCATTCCTGCTCAAGCAGACATTTAAAATTGAAATTAGTACGGTCGTTAAGAGTCTGATAATTTCTTCATAGTATTTCAGTACAATATCTGTAAAAAAGACCAAGATTTAACTAAAAATTTTAAATACGCTTAACAGCTTTCAGAGACATCACATTATTAATCTATTTCAATAAAATATCCATACATCAAGCTATAGTGATGCCCAACATGATATTCATTACATGTTTGAACCAGTTATTATAAAATGAAAATCAAAATAACTGTTTTCTTGCAAAAGTAAATCCAAGAGTTTACCAAGAACTTGTACTTGTTTTTAAAGTGTGTACTCATAAGTACCCTTTAAAAATTAGACCTCTGGTTTCTTGGATAAAGGTTATAAATTTCATCATCATTTCTCATATAGCGCTTATACATTAACCAAACAAAGTCATAGTAATTTCCCCCCTTGTAATCATCTGTACACACAGATTTGATTTACAGTATTCTCTCAAGAGAGACAAACTCACAACTATTTTTTTACATCTTTGATGACCAAAAAATTGTGCCTAGCATGTAATGACAGAGGTGCTAACATTACACCAGATACGATCCTGAAAAAAGGAAGTTTCACTAGGGTAGTGTTTATCTTTGATTGTCCTTCAAAACTTTCAATTAGAACATTTCTGTTACTTGCCCATTGTTTGGTGTACATGGTAAGAGAACTTTAATTGCAATGATTTCTATCTGCTGCAGGCATGTGGATCTATAGATTATATTAAGAATAGATACCAATACAATTTAGAATTCTATTTAAACTTTATCTGCCTATGATTGTGTATTAACAAATACATATATATCTATACATATTTTTTGTTTAAACAATGCACATTAACTGTCTTATTGTGTTTTTAAATTTCTTCTTACATACAACACTGCATGTATAACAAATTAAGAAACCAAAATGTGTAATATATACAGAATTACCTCCCTTGTTACAATTTATAGAAGATTGTACAATTAAAATTTAGTGTAGTTTCATACATTATTGCATTTATAATTGAGAACAATAGTTTTAACTTTTTTGGTAAGTAGAATAACACATTTCTGTCATTGGTAAGTAAAGTAATTTTTAAAACTTAGTAAGTTGTTACAGCAAATATGCAATAAAGTTATTGTTACGTTAAAAAAAAAAAAAAAAATTTAAAATCATTGATATTTTTAATGCTATCAGGAAACAAAGGTTAACAATTACCTGCCAATTAAATTTCCAGCAAGATTCAAATGTTGCAAACTTTCAAGTGACTGTAGTCCTTCTGAAAAGAAAAACATACATGTAAAATCATTTAATTGTTTCGTAGTTTAGTGTGATGTCCATTTTCACTGAACTAGTACACATTTGTGTTTAGGGGCCAGCTGAAGCCCGCCTCCGGGTGCGGAAATTCTCAATGTGTTGAAGACCCATTGGTGGCCTTGGCTGTTTTCTGCTCTTTGGTCGAGTTGTTATCTCTTTGACACATTCCCCATTTCCATTCTCAATTCTAAGTATCAAAACAATACACAAACACACACACCCTTACATGTGTATTCTTTGTTTATGTTTACCAAACCAAAAAGGGCTGGTTCATATTCTGCAACTATTTATATTTAGATGATTTGACTGCAGAGAGGTACAATACAATCTGAAATATACATCAATGTTTGATTTGTACTGAAATGAGGATGTTTCTTATTCGTTTCCAAAGTAATAACTATTTTTTTCAAATTAATTTTCTTTCTAAACTTAAACACCCCAAATAAATTATATTATTTATTGGTAGCCTCTTAACGCTTTAAACTTCTTGCTTGAATATGCATGAAGTGAGTCATTCTCCAAACAGGAACTTGTGATTTTACATCCTTAATCAACCAATACACAAATCTTCATTCCATCATCGTAAATCATGTTGTGCAGTATCAGAATCTTTGTAAATGACATCGAGACAAATCAGAACATTTAAAAAACAGTTCTCATAATGCAACTGCATTTCTGAATTGGTCTATTAGATCTCATGTGACTGTACTTTATATATTTTTTTTTATCATAAAGCAAAACAAGTTTACCCTTAGTACTATTTAACAGCTTAAGAAAAAACATTCAGGAAGCTTCAGTATGTATTGAAGGTTTACTTTTGTTGTAGCAAAGACATTGTCTGATGAAGGAGAACAATTGTATCTGAAGGGATATCAAGTGCTCCGTAAGAGTAGGTAAATTCCCCAATGCATTCAGCAGCATATTACAGAGTGAACATGCCATTAATGAGTTAAATCAAGTATCAGATCATGAAAAAAAATTTAAAAACACATTGTATTAAAGGGGCATTAGGTCCGAGTACACAGTTATCGTCCTTTGATTTTCATTGTCCACAAATGTAGTCCCTAGTGTTGACAGTGTGTTACTTGCCATTTTTTTTTATACCCCTTCCAAATTTATTTCTCCATGTTTTATGACTCAAATAGCAAGTAGGGGGGTGAAATGACACTGTAAAAAAAATTGGGTCATGAATTTTAAAGTAAAGTAGTGATTTGGTCCAGCTGAAAAATGTTAAAAATTAGCACTTCGGAAGCTGTCAAAAGATTTGAAGACCCCCTTAACATAAAATTGTCCATATTTTGAGTTAGAGCCGATGAAGTTTTCTATAATTTTGATATAATTTGTCCCAAAAGTAGTACAACACACTGTAAAAATATTATTGAGAAAGCGCAGGTGGGATTTTTTTAATTTTCATTTATTGTCTAAAAGAAATGCACTACGAAATAACTGTGTACTCGGACCTACAAAATTCAAGTTCATCGATTTGACTTAAATATTCATATTTGATTTATAACATACTAAAACATATATCCAAATTACAAAAACTCTAAAACAAACAATTAACAATGCATGGACTCTATATGTATCAACATTTCGTGTGTATTTTTGTCTACACATCATCTAATTAACCATCCTTATTTTGACAAAATTGAACCAAATTGGCTGCTAAGAATGAAATATTATTTCACTATTTCACTTTCATTAATGATTGAACAAAAAAAATCATATTTTATTTTTTTCTATATCTCGTAGCTAATGCCCCTTTAAGTAAAATTAGCTTTATGAATCTGATATTGTGCTTTCAGCTTTACTTACCAAGGGAGACAATCCTATTAGCAGACAAGTTTAACTGTGTTAGGTTGTTCAGTCCAGCCAGTTTGGTTAGTTTTGATATGTCATTTCTGGCCAAATTAAGTCTTTCAAGTGATGCACATTCACTTATGCAACCTAGATCCGAAATGCCTACAAAAAAAGATAAACAGTAAGGCCAAAATAGAAATAACTGGTTTAGGGTTTCCTGCTTTAAAAATATATAGGGTTGGTGGGAAGGATTAAGGTTTTTTTTATCTGAATTTTAATTACCTTGAGTATATAGGGACTAATTGCAAATTGTGTCACGATTTACAACCAAAACTGCCTATACTATATCCCTATTAGGGTAGACAATTTAAGGCAACACAAATAAAGTATTCCCGCTGCTTTGAATTAGAATGCTTATTTACTAAAAATAAAAATTGAAAAATGCACTTATGTTCTGTCAAAAATATTTTATCAATCAAACATTTAATTAAGGTTAGAATAAGTTTCCTTACTGCTTTTTGCATTCACAGAAAGTGTAAAAAGATTAAAAACAACATACTTCAGAGTCCTAATGTATTATAAAATTCATTGGAAAACTGCAGTAGTTTACCATGGATTTAATGGTAAAGATATTACACAGAAGTTCTGAACTCTATATTAGGTTCAATATCATTAAAAATTGCTACATAATGGTACAATAATTAATATTCAATATAAAAAGACTTTAAATCATTAGCAATGACATAACAGTACTTTTTGTGAATTTTAAAAAAACAAAAAAAAATAGTTTAAGATTGCTACATGTTAAAGTGCCTGTTCCAAGTTAGGAATCCAGGGGGTTGTCACTGCAACTTCAAGGCTTTTGTTTGTTAAAAAATTGATGTTGGTACAAGATAGCTGGGTACCTCTTTAAATGCACTTAATCACAACTTGTGTAAATTCATGATGAGTAAAAGTTTATCAAGAGATGTTGGTCCATTATTTTTAAAGAATGTGTTGTGAACTCTAAATGTCTATTTTGGTTAACGTGTGTTGTTGAATTGCTGTCTTAATTACAAATAACCTAAATATACTGTTTGATATTGTTAAATGGTGAAAATGAAGTATAAATGAATTGCCATTTGTTTAATTTTTTTATAAGAAAGCTAAAATATCTCAGTTACACCAATTGTCAATTGGACTTCATTGTATTAGCTTTACCATCCAGTATAAACATTGGCATCTCAAACATTTTGTTTCAATATGAATATTCATTAAAACTAAGGATCATACTTAAGTACTAGCTGGTTTTGAAAGTTGTTCTGTGTCAGAAATTAAAGGAGATTGTTTAACCAATTATTACATATACCAGTTCAAATGAATAATTGCTCACAAAAGATGTAATATGGTTATATAATTGGTATAAAATATACTGCTTCATGCTTTAACACTTTTATTCCTCATTTGGGTCATTGTTTCTAAATTTTTATCACTTTCTTACCAAGTTCTCTCAAATTTAAAGAATGAATGCTCTCTAAGTCAAATTCACCACTTCTCATCTTCAGTAAAACTTTTGTTATTATTCCATCTATTATAAAAGAAAAAGAAAATATTAAACAATTTAATAAAGGTCAGTTTTAAAAAAATATGTCAAACATGTATATTGTATTTACATTTTCAAGTCTGAAAATATATAGTGTGTCAATTAATTTTGTGCAAGCCAGGTATTCATAATATAACCTCAAATTGAGGCCCATTGTTCATTTAAGATACAGCAAACTAATGGTATACTGTTATCTGGATCCTGAGGATCAATAAGTAGGACAAAAAATGTGACTTTCAGGTTGAAATAGAGTTTATGTATAAAATATAAAAATAAGGAGATGTGGTATGATTGCCAATGAGACAACTATCCTCCAAAGTTCAATGAAGTGGATGTAAGCAATTATAGGCAACCGTATGGCCTTCAACAATGAGAAAACTCCATATCGTTTAGTCAGCTATAAAATACCCCGACTTGAAAAACGTGAAACAATTCAATTAAGAAAATTAATGGCCTAATCTATAACAAAACAATTTACGAAAAACAAATATGACCATCAGCTGACGATAGGCACTGTTAAGGGGTCAAACTGAGTCGAATTTTTCTATGGCGATTTGAAGAAAAAAGTTCTTATTGAGTATCATTTTATTTAATATGTGAGAAATAACCTTGCGAATGTAGAAATTATTTTTTTTTTCCAGTAAGGAATAAACTATTGGTTTGAGCAGAATGACTTAATTACTGCCATTAAAAGATTTTTTTTGTAAATGAAGAAAAAGGTAATATAAAAATGCAGTAGTAGATGAGCTATTTTGGTACATCTGTCCTGCTTTCTTTGGCATCTATTTAGAAATGTAAACCATACTTGCCATAATGTATTACAATATAACTTTCAACCGACTGGGGTTCGATACTGAGTCTCAAATTAATTTGAAAAAAAAGGGAAAAGTGGAAACTAGAAAATTAAAATGTTTGATATGTGAAGTACTTTTATAAATAAAACCTAGGTGTCATCTACCATTCATGTAAAAGCGAAACAGTTTTAATATTTGCAAGAGTTAGCAGCTTAACTCTTTTTTCTCTGTCTACGTCACAAAAATTTTTAACTTTCAAGAAGAACTATGAATGTCGTTTGTGTGGAGCAAATAAACTAAAAAGCTATTCCCTGAAAAGGATCGATTGACATCCAACAACAAAAATCACTAGGAATTGACTTTGCAGTCAATGAAATATTTAATATATATGCCACCAAACCATCGGGTTACAAATGTGCACTTATGAATAAATACAAATATAACAGGTTATTGGTTTCGACGGGTAAAACAGATAAAAATCTGCTCTTTACGATTCCAAAATCCATTGTATTAAAAATGCACAGATAAACTTGTGTATTGAGATTCACGCTGTTTAAATTCAAAGACTGTGAATGTAATATTTGCTAAGGAAATATGGTATAGATATAGGCCCTTCAACCTTATAACTGGCTATTACTACATCATATACTGTACAATAAAAGCTGTGTTACCGAATGACTTACAAAACAATTGTTTTTGCTATCGTGTGCAGCAAGTTTTTGTCTCAGATTGTTCTGATTTTCAGGATTTTAATACAATGGATTTTGGAATCGTAAAGAGCAGATTTTGATCTGTTTTACCCGTAAACAAGAAAACCTCTGAAATGACAGATCTACATACACGATATCACTTTAAAGACATTGGGCATTAAATGAAAAAAAAATCATCAATTTATTCTCGGGTAAATGCAGTTTCATTTGAATCAGGCATATATAGAAGGCAAAGTAAAATATTTCTTTGAAATTTAATGAGATTAACCTGTGACTACTACTAGTTCTATATAATGGCAGTGCAATAGTCACATGCAGGAATAAAAAACCAATATAAAATAGATAAGTTCGTAAAATTTTAATGAACCCAAAATAATCATAAAACACGCTTCCTTATAATTTGTTATCTTTTTGATATGGATCGACAGAACTACCAATTATGGATAATTAACTCCAACCATGACATTTTAATATTAAGTGGGTGATAAAAATTCGGTAAATTTCATCTGCTTTTGATGAGGGATCAGTACTTTATCTATGGCTATTATATCTATGCTAATATAGGTTGAGATTGAGATTTTGTGTCCTTTTTTAATGTATATTCATGTGATTGATCTTTATTTTTCTTTTCGTGAAATATTGTGTGGATTTATCTCTTTAATTCAGTCATTGCACTGCACCTTCCATTCCTAGATAGATATGCTAAATAAGATTGACAGGGATGGAATATTCTCACAGTTGTCAAAAATGTTGTTTACATGTTTTTATTGACACTATATACAGTCCACAAACAAAATATAAAAATTTATCGATCACAAGAAAAATATGTCTAATGATTTAATGACAACTTGAAAGAAAAACCTTATCATATAAGTAAAATTCAATAATATAGGAAAATTATATATGAAAACAATGATATTTATTTTGCATGGTGTGCATCATATGGTGAAACTACTATTACTTCCGGCCATTTTTGTGGCGGCTTGTTCGAAAGACTACCTGCTTTTACGTTGAATTTTAACATGACAACAGGATAAGAGATAATCAATTTATTGCATTCTTATGAAGTCAAAAGAGTAAGGTCAAAAGCTAAGGCATTTGAATCAAGGAAATGCAAATCCGTAGGTAGCACGAGCAGGTGATTTTGTTGTCATGTTGACATATACACATGACATGCCTGTGCCTGCAACATCCAAAATTCTCAACTTTCTAATTTGTCGATTTTTTTGCTTGTTTTGTCAATGATGATGTTTTAAGGTTTATGAACCTTACCCATGATTGTGTAATACGACATTTATCAACAGCTAAAATAAAGATGTGCCTTTTGTACATGTACCATGACTCATAAGGAAACATTTATATAGTCCTATAACATTTGACTTCACATTGTTTTTATTCTGTTATTCTGTTTAAAACAAAATTTATGTTGATAATTGCATTCTTCACTTTTTCGGAATGCAAAGTTATATTGGATCACTTTCTGACCTGACAAATTCATGTCAGAATTAAATAGTTTCAATCGTCTTTCTTTACACGTACAGTACATGTACAGTGGTAAATCCTATTATGTGAGAAGAATAGAAAATTCATCCTTCTTATGAAAAAGAAGAAAAAATCTATAGTAAAACTATGCCAGTGACCATACTGATTAAAAGTTATTTCTAAAAAAACAATCATATATTTCAAGTAAAGTATTTGTTACGCAGACTTAGCCAAGTATTATTAGGGAGCTACCATTTGATTTTTATGGGGGGGCTAGGATGAAATTTGAAAAAAATAGGCAGGACAGGAGTTTTGAGTAAAAAAAAAGGAGGCAGGATGAGATTATTTGCAAAAAAAAAAGGCAGGATGACAATTTATGTAACAAAAAAGTCAGGATAAACTAAAAAAAAAAGGCAGGACCGAATAGAGTGAAAAATAAAAAGGCAGGACCGAATAGAGGGAAAAATAAATAGGCAGGACAAAATTTTTCATCCTAGCCCCCCCCATAGAAATATTCATGCAAATACACGAAGTTGTATGTTCATTATTTAATCAGATAATTGCATAATAAGCTTGTGAGACTGAAATTTAAAAAAATGTTCATCTTTGCTGCATACACAAATGGCATATTGATAAAAAAAAAAAGTTGGAAAAAATTATATATACTGGTACATACAAAATTTAAAGATCTTTCATTTCACCTATTTTTAGAGTGTTCCACTAGTCCTTAGCAAATTACAATTTTCCAAAATATACCTATTTAGGTACACTGGTCTGCTCTTGTCACATGAACTTTCAATACTATGAATAAGTATGTGTAAATCTCTAACAAATATGGTGTGAGATGTAGCGGATAATTTGTACTTATAGATTATGAAAATATACAACTTCGGAATTCAAATAGTGACATCCATTAGTAAAATACTATCAAATTTATTCATCTCATTAAGGTTTGAAGGACTGTTAGCTAAACAAAGAAAATCAAGGGCAACATAAATTTCTCCCTAGAGCTTCTCCTGGGGCGACATAGTCGCTCACTTCGCCTTTGGCATTCTTAAATAATTCATTTAAGTGACCAAAAAACAATCGGGTCTGAAAATCTGTAAGCTGCACAATTTAGAAAAATATGTGTTTTCCAAAAATAGGTTCCAATTTACATTCTATATCCTGTACTGTGCACATGCTTTAAGGAAATAAATATGAAAAAAGACAAGTTTCTTACTAAGAAAAGGTAATCCATTGACTGTTGTATGAAATCTATGATTAAATATAAAATGTTGGATTTGTATTACCCTTAAGGGCATTCCTCTTTTTCGTAGAGCAAGCTATTAAAATATTTATTAAAATTTCATATTTATTGTGTTTGATTTTTCAGAGCTGTTAGTTGACCAATATTTGCAATGATGGGAGATCCGCTTGACATGAAGCAGATTTTCTTCACCAATCTGCAAGTTCTGGGATTTGATGCAGCAGCAGAAGGACAAGACAACAAAATTCCCTTTAACAAGTATATATTCATTAAAAATTACAAGTACATGTAAAAAAAATTTATATCTTCCAATAATTGGAACCAAGACAAATACTTTTAGAATGATGGGAGAAGAGTAACTTGTATGGAATTTTGTTTCTGCAAGACTTCAAAAATTAGCACATATACTTTTTATTACTTCCTAATTTTAAAGTAGAAATTAGACATAAGGAATGGTGCTAATACATTCATTTGAAAAAAAACTTGTTAAAGAGGGAAATGAATTAGTGATATTCTTCTTGTATGTGTTTTATTTTATTTTAACAGTTTGTTTCATGGTCAATTTTAACTTTTTATTTTAAAATAATGTGTAAGGCAAGCCAAGAAAAATTCAACTAGTTGTAGTTATATCCTTCAGTATTCTAATCCACTTAAAAAGCTTTGAAATTTGCAATTAGACATTAAAAGATTATACCGCAATATATCATAAAAAAATAGTTTTATATGTTTTGTTCATATAAAGTGTTGATTTCTACTTGCTCTTTTACAGAAACATGTTTGATTTGCCAAATAAGAGGGGCAGTGAAGTTGTTTTACATTTCCTGTTTGAGAAATTAAACCCAGTCATGTGCAGAGAAGAGTTTAGGTAAATTTACACTTCAAAACAAAAAATGAGATTAAGTAAAATAATAAAAAAATCATGATTGATGGGTGTTCAATGTCCAGTGACAAATATCAGTCATTAGGTACAGAATTGCAATTATACATGTATGTATATTGAAGGAATTTCGCTATAAATTGAAAATAAAGACCATTTCAATTGTCATGAAGAAAACTCATAAAAATTACCAGCTACCTGTTTCTGTGCTTAATATGTGGTTTAGGAATAATGGTTAAGTGTGTACTGTATGGCTTCCAAAACGGTCATATATTCCGGACATTTATAAATTTACCAGACATTGTCTGCCTGGGAAAAGCATGAAACGGACATCTACTTTTTAGTGTTCAAGGCTTTCTTAAGAGATAGTTATTTTAACATAATTCACGATGTTTTTGACCCAACCTTTTTCCTTAAACAGCCACACATTTCCGGTCTTAAAAGTGACATGATGATTAAGTACTATCAAAACAACCCATACTTTCATACCTTCTCATTTTAATCAAGGCTAATTAGTTGTAGGACAGCTGAAATCTACCTGTTCAGATGACAGGTAAACTATTTTGTACCGGACATTCATCGGTCTATTCAAAGTTATTTTCTTATATTTCAGCGATTTGCATCTAATTAATTTAGTCAAAAAGATTAAAATTATAAGAAATGCGTTTATAAATATGATTTAATGAAAAATTTAAAAAGGTTTTTAATGAAAAATCGTCAGAACTACATTGTTTGAACTAGTACACGTGTGTGCAGGTGGGAAATTTAATTATGCATCCTAATTTCTTTAAAAATGCTAAAATTATCATTGATACCTGTATCTAACGTTCATTTCGAGTATTTTCTTGAAGATATAACGTGGAAAGAGCTTCTTACACTCAGTCGTGCTTTGTAAAAGTACATGGATTTTACGTATCCGTCTCTGGTCCATGTTTTATCATTGTCATGTCAACATTCGGTATTAGGAAAATGTGCTTTTAAAAACGAAAGTAAAGTTTTTGACATCATTATTTTGCACAAATAAAGAGTCTAAGGCAGATATTAGTACACTGATGTTGCACACTTCGAATGATGCACTGCCAAATTAACAGTTCACGTCAGAACATCAAATTTATATCAAAGTAAAGTTTAATATCGTTTTTTTAATGTCAATCATTGGGATGGCCAACTGATTACCATAATTGCCTTTTGTTACTTAGTCTTAAGGGATTCAAATCGGGATAAGATATAAAATGTGCGGCTGCCTCAAATATTTTTTGGAAGCCCTGGTGTACTGTAAGAAAATTGCAACTACGTGTATTAAACTTTAATATTTGCAAATATTTATAGTTTTAATTTTGATAGATTGAAAGTGTTTAATTTTTATTTTTTTTTCAGACATTGTTGGCCCATAATTGACAAGCAACAAGAAGCCCAGTTCAGAAGGACTTGTAATAACTGGTTGAATAATATATCAAAGGTATACATTTTACTTTTATAAATTTTGACTTGGATGGAGAGTTGTTTCATTGGCACTCATACCACATGTTCTTATATCTATATACAAATACTCAGCTATAAGAATAACAGAGCCATGAAAAACAAGTGCTATGTTTTTTCAATAACAAAAATTAAGCAGCAGCTTGTTAAGTGTGTGAAAAAATTGGAGCACAATTATGTGTTCCTGAAACTTGTTCAACATATGCCTTTACTAAAGCTACTTTGAAATCAGTCCATTCAGTCAATACCGTTAAATTCGTTAAATAAGCCGCAGGTTTTTTTCTCTGTCATTGTCCCTGCGTGTTATACTCAGGTGCGCTTTATGTACGTATATTTTCAGTGTTTCAGGGCAAGTGTGAAAAAAAATTTATATCTGGATTTTTTTTATGGAGACCTTCAGATTGTCAAGTGCTTGCAGTGACTTGATAAATTGTTCATGTGGCATATTTTGTTATGAATAAAAATATATATACTTTATCATTTGTTCTTTATTTCATTGTTGGCTTACGAAGTTGATAACATGAGTGTTCATTACATAAACAAAGAAAGATAACTGTGTTTGAAAGAGGTACCATACAGGATATTAATTGTGTATTTACAATAAATATGTAATGGTTTGTTGTTTTAATGTGCTTTTAAATAAAATCTCCTAAAGGAATAATAAAGGAAGTGATTGTGTTTCTTTCCAATATTTCAAGTCTCTTTTAATGACGATGGTGATAACCATGTGCTGAAATGAACCCTTTAAAGTGTTTCATAAACAAAGAAAGATAAGCGTGTTTGAAAAGAGGTACCATACAGGATATACTATTGAGGAGTAACTGCTTTTCGTTTTATTGTGTTTCAAAATGAAATATCTTCATGAAATATTGTAGCCACATATTATCGGATGTATGAAATGAAGAAAAGAATATTAATTTTCATAATTTAATATGCTAAGACATTTATATATCGCCGTCTTATTTGAATTCCCCTTTCCGTGGCCCATCTCACTTTCAGTTAAAAATAGACAATGACTTGCAGAAACTGAATGGTTTTGTTCGTAGTATTCAACCAAGTTTAAATTTAAAAATGTTTGAAGCTAATAAACTAAAACTTTTATTTTATAGACAATAATAAAATTCTTCAAATTTAATTTGATAATTTGTTTTCCCCTGACTTATGCGTGACCAGTTAACATGTGGCTACAGGTATACCTGGTATTACGTAATAATCAAGGTAAACAATGGCAGTTTTATGGCTTGAGTGACCTTTAATGAATACATTTTCAAGAAAGATTAAAATCCTTGATTCCAATTGAAACAATTAACGAGCAATCAACACCAAACTAATTTTAATCAAAACAACAAGTTCAATGGACACCCACGCTGTCAACACATGGCCATTGTTGACAAAAACAACTAATGAATCTGGCGTCATTAAAACAATAAGAAAAGTATAATAATTTTATTAACATTTTTTATTTTAATATGAAACAAATACATATAATCAAAATGCCTTTCAACTTTCTCAACAATCTGAAAATAGAAATGAAACATGTTACGCAGTGAGTTACAAAAACGAGTGAACATTCATTACTCTAAGGTCAGTAGAATGCATACTACGTTTTCATTAGGGTGCGCTTTATATTCAGGTGCGTTTTATGTAAGGAAAAAAACACTTCTTCCCCCAAAAAACGGCCGTGCGCCTTATTTAGGGGTGCGTTTTATTTTCCGCAAAATACGGTACATAGTTCCAAACATCTAAATATGATCTTCACCAACTATTTACATGTGTTAATGAAGGCAGAATATATCTTTTAGTTCTTGTAATAAGAAATAAGATATTGTTACTCAATTTTTTTTTTTATAAAATTCAAATTTACTCCATACTTTTATGCAAAAATGAACTATTTTTTAACATTTTTAATAATTAGGAGAATTAGTCTATTATGCTTAGAAAATTAGAAAATAATTATAAATCCTAAAATTGTGTTTTCAGCAATGTTTGGTTAACGAAAAAGTATTTACTCTTATGGTACATGTATTTGTAAGGTTGGAAGTATCATATGTATTTAAAATATTTCAGAATGAACCGGACTCCCATTTACCCAGGATAACTGGGTCTCTGTTCCTGTCACCTGGTGGAGAAAAGTTTATCCAGTTGTTACTTCATTTTTCCAGATACGTTCTGCAACAGGATATTGAAAGAATGGGTATATATCATTTGAATGCCCAGTGATTTAATTTTATAATTTGTTACAATTTAAATTATGTTACATCAAATATTTATGTTGAAATATATTCAAATACAAATTGTAAAGACAGTATGGTATATTTTCCTTATCAAGACAATTGCTTTTTGTAGATCAAATTGTCTTGATTTTTTTTTAAACTTGCTTGTAAATTTCTTTTAAAGAATTGAATGCTTCTATTTGTAATTTTATTACTGTGTAAAAGCATTTACCAAGCTCATCTTCTGGAAGCACTTATACAAAAAAAAAATGAGCACTTTCAAAACCTTTTTACAACCCTATAATATTACAAAAAGAAGAATTCAATTCTCATAACTACATTTCCATGCTACAACCATGAAATTACATGATAAATCAAACCTTTTGGTTTTTTTTCTATGCATTGTTTTAATGTTGTCACAGAGAGCATTTGTAGTCAATGATGTTATTTTTTACATGGAAATAAAATGTAATTTTTGGAATGCCTTTACCAATCAAAATTACAGAATCATATGAGACTTCTACTGTAGAATCGTTTTTTTTTCGTGGGCACAACTATTTTTGAGGATTGATGAAAACTTGCATTTTCATGGCTATTTGATTTCTTGGTTTTATACATTCCTATAGAAAAATTTTAATTTCTTAACCATTTGAATTCGTGGTTCCCTTCTACCCAAGAAATCCACGAAAACTGGTATCTAACGAATAATACTGAATCCACAGTATATATTTATCAGACCAGTACCTGTTATAAGTTGTAATACTCTCTTTGGCAGTTTACAATGTCTAGAAGAAGTTTATTTGTTTCCAGGCGGTAAAGATAAAGACCATCTACGTTACCCAGAACTGACACAGCAAACAGCCTCCCTTGGTGAAGCTGTTGGGAATTCAGTCCAATGTTCCATCGTTAGGAACAGGAAACATTTACTGGAGGAATCTCAAATTATACTGGCTCTAAATAGGGAATGGAAAGAATATTCCAAGTAAGAATAAATTTTTAGACATTAAATTCTGCAAATCATTTTTGATTTTATCAAAAGTCTTACAAGGAAAAATATCCACAGTCATAAACTTTCAGTGTAATTTCTTATTAATTTTTGTCGAGCCTGCAACTTTTGTCGCAAAAGCGAGACATAGCGATCCTACATTCCGTCGTCGATGGCGCCCACAAATATTCACTCTGTGGTTAAAGTTTTTTTGAAATTTTAATAACTTTCTTAAACTATCCTGCATTTCAACCAAACTTGGACAGAAGCTTGTTTTTGATCATAAGATAGTATCCTGAAGTAAATTTTGTAAAATAAAAATCCTGTTTATCCGTATTTTACTCATATATGGACTTAGTTTTTCTGCCAGTTAACATAACATTCACTCTGTGGTTAAAGTTTTTCAAATTTTAATAACTTTCTTTAGCTATCCTAGATTTGTACCAAACTTGGACAGAAGCATGTTTATAATCATAAGATAATATCCAGAAGAAAATTTAATAAAAAAAAATCCTGTTTATCCGTATTTTACTAATATATGGACTTAGTTTTTTCTGCCAGTTAACATAACATTCACTCTGTGGTTAAAGTTTTTCAAATTTTAATAACTTTCTTAAACTATCATTGACTATCCTGGATTTATACCACACTTTGACAGAAGCTTGTTTGTGATCATAAGATAGTATTCAAAAGTAAATTTTGTTAAAAAAAAATCCTGTTTATCCGTATTTTACTTACAAATGGACTTAGTTTTTCTGCCAATTAACATTACATTCACTCTGTGGTTAAAGCTTTAAAAATTTTAATAACTTTCTTAAACTATCCTGGATTTGTACCAAACTTGGACAGAAGCTTGTTTGTGATCAAAAGCTAGTATCTAGAAGGACATTTTGTAAAAATTTCTTTCCTGTTTTTCCATATATTACTTATAAATGGACTTAGTTTTATTCCAGTTAACATTACGTACGGTCTGCAGTTAAAGTTTTTAAAACATTTATTAGATTCATAAACCTTCTTGGATTTTTACCAAACTTAAACAGAACTTACAATCTAAAGATAGTATCTAGAGGAAAATTTTTAATATTTTTTTCCTCATTTTTGTTGAGCCTGCGACTAACAGCAAAAGTAGGCGAGACACTGGGTTCCGCAGAACCCTTACAAATTTTTTTATTGTGAGATTATTTTATTAACAGTTGCTGAGTGGTATATTTATTAGATAATTTATATGTCTCCTTGGAGGTTTATGTTTAATATAGAAATGAAAATCTATTTTAATACAGATGGATGCATTCATTCTGTACTAAATTTGAACAGACCAGTAATAAACAAACTGTGTTATGGACAAGACAAAACTTATTTCAAGTATTACAGAAAGTGTAAAAAGACATATTGAGATACTATTTTGAATGATTTCATTTATTATTGAAAATCTGTTGAGATATTGAAAAATTGTGTTGAGGGAATGATGCTCTATTTTTGTACATTATCCTGCAAACCACTGCCACAAAACATATTATCATAGGTATTTTTGGTGGAAGAAGACTTCAAGTCTTCTGAAAGCCTTTACTGCTGGCTGTAAAATCATTGAAAATGTCACCAGGTTGTATGCCGTATCCCTTTCTGTGTATTACAATTTCATTACAACTTCGGTGCCATTTCGTGACACCGATTTTTACACATGATTAATCTTCTGCATCATTTAATTTATAAGTTAGGCTTGAAAAACAATCACTATCGTAAGTGTTATAGTTTCTCATGTTTTTATGTAAAAATATATACCCTTTTATTTATGTAAATTATTAGATTTCATCTCATCTTACATAAACGTTATTTGTTTACTTGTAACCGGATGTTTTTAATTTAGATTATTGTAGTACGCATGCGTGAATTTGGTATCGGGTCAGTTCGCCCTTTTTAAATGTTCGACCTTGGTCTGTTCGTCCTAAGTTCTTCCGCCCATAGAGTACGTTCGCCCTAAGTTCCTTCTACTTACTTTTATCAATGACGTTTTATACGTCCTTTCATTTATTAAAAATATTAATATTAAGGGTATTCAATTTTAACAAACTTATTCAGATATTTATATGGTATAAATTCTCGAAATTCATGAAAACACATGAAAAAAAATAATTAAAAGTTGATGGCTTGTCTTGGAGCATTAATAGGTCATGATAATAATTCTCTGATTGGTGTAATAATTGTCTTTAGTAGATTAATGATTGGAATTATCGGAATAAAACAACTGGATTATTCGGGTTGATCTAAACAATGTTGGTTACATATCTGCGCATGTGCACAAATGGGAAATTTAATTGACAATTTGTGCGTACGAAAGTTTCAAAATATTGATAAACAGAGTTGCATATATTCATACAATCCATCTTGTGTTGAAGCCAAGTATCTTCGTGGAGAGTACGACTTCAAATCAATGATGCTTGAAAAAATACACGGATTGGGTTGTTCCGTCTACGTTTAGGTCTTTAATTCCAGTTTTAGACGACATGTGTTTTTAATACGAAAGTTAGAATATTTTAGTATGTTATGGCGATAATAAAGTGTCAAGCGCACACGTGAATCTGCTGGTGTGTTTCACATCAAACGATGCACCGTCGGTCATTGTCGAAATGTCCCCAATGATTGTGTTTATTCCCTTACGATTCAAAGTTTTATAAGTGACCAAAAACGGGATCTTAACAACTAAATAGTCCAGCTCTTTACCGTTATTCGTCATTTAGGTACACCCATTATCGAGGCTCGAGTACGGAACCAGTTTGAAATGCTGATAAGTGCCCAAAACCCAATTCTTGGCCTGACACATATCTGCATGGGATATATTTAGAATTTTTCAATATCTGTTTATAATGAAAACCCTAGTTTAAACAAACTTGACTAAAATCTTGGTAGCCAGTTTTTTTTTTAAGGTCAACTATCTACCTTTGACAGAAAACTTTTAAGTGAAACCAAATCAATTAATGTTATAATTGCTTGGCGAATTTGCATTGCATCAAGTGGACCTTTCCGAGACGAATGTATGGAATCTAGTTATAGAAAGATTAATTTGAATCAACAGTATTTGCAGATTTTTATGTTAAGTATAGTGAGTTTTGGTTGAGTTATGAGTCTAACTATTTTTTGAAGAAAAAAATACGTCAAAAGCAATAATGGGACAAAGCAGACTGGTTTGGTGGGGCTGCTCTTGTGGTTATTCAAGTAACCTTTAATGCATCTTCTTCCACCTCAGAGCAATCAGCTCTTTGATTTAATACTCCTAAAGAACTGTTGGACATCCTTCCAAGGTTAAAAATGTGATTCAGAATCAATGATAGCAAAATAGCAGTTGATTTGAGTCATCCTTCAAATTGTGGTGCCTTTACCTCATGCTTGATTGATTGAGTCTCTATGCAGTTTGTAGTGTTACATGAATATTGCCACATGAATTGTTATGAAAACATTGATTTTCATTGACACTTATATCTAATTAAGATATGAATACATCTTTTTATTTTTTCAGTGAGCTGGTAAAAGATTATAGGAAGCTATCTAAATTGGCAAGAGAAAAAGACCACAAGATTAGGGAAGAAATACAGAAAACCACAGAGAGAGGAGCAGAAAGAGGGAGGTATGTAGTAATTGCTATTTACCATTCTGTATTTTACAAACACTGCCATAAAAGATCTGTGTACTTTTAAGTCTGAAATTGTTCTTTCTCAATACCAGGAAATAGATATTTTAGGGTAAAGATTACTTCATGCAATCAAAACGAAAGTGGGACTGAATTGATAGTTATATTTTCCAGACCTCATCACTATTATTAGATACAATAGAAGGGTAAGTATTGCATTCATTTTGTAATGGGAACTACAAATTAAACCTTGCATTGTATTAGCAATTGAAGCAATATTTTGAATTGGGAATATCTTACTTTGTCCATAATTGCAGTTTGATCAACTACAAATATGGACAAAGGAAGATAACTCCAATTTTTTTCAATTCATGTTTTTAAGAAAAGATAGTTAGAGGCACCCTGTAAATTACAATGCAATGTTTAATTTGTAGTTCCCATTACAAAATGAATGCAATACTTACCCTTCACTGCTCACAAGCACTTTGATTTATTAACTGGCTTCTTTATGAACAATTTTTCATCAGATAATATAGAATTTGAATCATTTCCAGCTTCTATTATTTCTTTTTGTTCAAGTTATTTACCACTGTTTTCTTTACATACTCTCAATAAAATCTGTTATAAATTTTAACAGTTTTGAGTTTAATGATTAGAAATGATTCTACACATATGTTTATTATTCAACCTTGAAGTAAGTTGTATTCTTGTGAGAGTCATTTTTACTATTTTCATGTAATTCTATTGTAGTCCCATGGTAAGGAAAAGGCGTTCAACAAATGCATATGAATATGATTTTGATCCTCAGTCAATAAAACGAGCTCAGCGAGTTCAAGAGGTAACTTTTTTTAATTTGCTATTTTGAAATTTTATTTACAGTAAATGCATACTAGTTAGTATATCAAATCTTTTCTCCAGATTCAAATGTCAAGAAGTAAATTTAAAATTCATGTTAGGATACATTAAAATAAACTTTTTATATTGATGATTTACTCTTTGGATAAAAAAGCAGGTGTTTTTTTAGTGATTTCAGTACTGTTTATGAAGAAGAGTTAAATTGTAAGGAATATTAAACAAGATTTATATATTTTGAATAGGTCCGTGACTTATGGAAGCAGTTTGATGATTTCTGTACTAGAGAGGCCTCAGAGAGGGAAGTTATAGAATCTATAGTAGATAAAACAATGAACAAATGTAAAATAAATGCTTCTGGTGTCAACATTAAAGTTCCAGATCTTTTACTGACAGAATGTGAAGACGAAATAAGAAAGGTACAAATATACTTTAATTCCACAATACTACCATTTATTGTATATGATACTGTATAAACTCTATGACAATCTATTTTGATAAAAAAAAATAAACCCATACAAAATTTTACATAGTGATTTGGTATTGTCAATCATTTCATTATCTTAAAAAAAAAACATTATTTATTTTACACCCACTTTTGAGGTAGCATACTTTCCTCAACATTTTAACCTCAGTCTAACCTAATATTAAGGATAGGAAAATTAATATTTTTCGTTTTAACTATTTTCTTTTTTTATGTAGTCAGTTTATCCAAACTGTCTCATATATTTAAGAATTGATGTTGATTTTTTTACATACATTGTTAAAAGTCAAAAGGTGCACAAGCTTTCAAAATTTAAAAACAACAATTTGCTTTCAATTGGTTAGGTTCCATATAACAAACATAATTCATGTGTAGAAAATGATGCGAAAATTATGTTACATTGTGAGCCTTTTGCAGTATATATTACTTTTGTTTCATGATCACCTTATTTTAATATCCTAAATTAATATGGAACACTGATAATTTAAAGACTACAACCAGACAGTGTATTTATCACATAAAAAAAGGAGAACAGGAATTACCACACTACAAACTTCCCTTACCACCAACAGACATCTCCTCTGAAAAAAAAAGATGCACAAACAAAAACAAAACAAGATCCAACAACATACAGTCCAGGTAGTCTGGCCTAGTGCAGGCATGAAATGTGAATGGATTAATCCAAACCCCCTTTGCCTATCTAGACCATTTTTCAAAAAAGACAATCACACAGTAAAAACCGACACAGTCCAGCTACCAACAGGATTATCACTAACTTGAACATGTTAATAATAAATGGAAAATGTGCTCGCTACTTCAGGAAAATAGCTTATATGTAGACACAGCTGTTGGCTGAATACTGTTTGTTTCGATCAATATGTGGGAGGTCATTTCAGTAAAATGAAGAGTGTGTTAAAAAAACAACTTATAAATGTATGAAAATATGAAAATACAAAAAGAGTGATTAGTATTAAACAGCAAGTATGAATATGATTATTATAAAACATTTGTATCCAATAAATGAGAAAAGCTGAAAATTAAAGTTCAATAAAACAATATGAATTTAGTGCCACACAGTGATTCTCATAACGCTATAAAAAATAGTACTTACTTCTGATTGAATATCGTCTACAATAGTCCATTTTATTTATGCAACAATTACAATATGCAGAAGATGGGCATATCTTCCACTCCTGGCGCAGCTGTTAATTTATTTCTAACACTGTTAATCTTTGTCTTTTAGTTGACCCTCTAGATGTATATATATGCTTTATGTTGTGCAATGATAGAAGTATTTTGTATATTCCAGAGACATGTAGACAGTAATTTCCACCATGGAAAGCTCAACCTTGTTAGTATAATACAACTATGGAATTTATGTCTTCATTTGTATATAGAGAAAATACATCAAGGTGAGTAAATGGGTATGTTTGCCAAAAGTCTGTCAGATGAAAGTAATGTGTTTGAATTTTGTTTTAAACCATGTCTTATGATATACCTTCTTAAATTTTCTGAATAAAAGCGAATTAATATTTAGATATAAGTAACACCTTTACCAAAACAGAAAAATAGCTATTTTTTCCAAACATGTAAATTGTGCCAAAAATTTATTTGCCACTTGACTTTAAACAGCCATCCATCATCATCATCATCAATTCACAGCGAAAAAAATATCAGAACTTTGTTTACGAACATGATATCTGCACTAAACATGCTAAACTTTTTTCTCACTGGTAATTAAAATATTAATGCCACTTATTTGTAGCAAAACATTCAGGTTCTAGCAAAACATTCAGGTTCTAGCAAAACATATCAATGGCAATGAAGTATGACTAGCGTTTTTTTTTTTTCTCCATAAGAATATTTGTTTGTATGAAACAATGGGTTATTTTTATATCATTGGTTCTATGTATGACCAAAATTTCATTCCCTTTTCAGCTGGTGTTCCAAAATTTGAGGAGGAAGTTAAAGCCATAACAGATAAAGTGCATACAAGTACAGCTTATCTGTTCAATACACAGTCATTGAAGGAGCAAATAGCAAGTATCTTGCCTGAGCTCAAGGAATCGATAGACTATCTCAGGAATAAAATCGATAAGGAAGTGACTATTTCCAGTACTCCACAGAGTTTACGGACTACTGTAAGTCATCAAAGTATTGTTCAGATTGTGGTAGGACGAAATTGACACTGCTCCTGCAATTCTTTTAATTTAAATGTTTGTAAATTTTGAATAATTTGGATTTCTTTAGATTTGTGCAATTTATACAAATTTATTTACTTTTTTGCAAATAAAATTTTAGAATTTTGGCTTCTGTTTTCTTTTTTATATTCAAAATATTTCAAATAGCAGAAGTCCCAATTTTGTTTTACAAGAAATTCTATATCTTCTATTAGTTATTATTAAGAATTATTATTTGGATGGATTTAACTTTTTTAAGATGAAGATAGATTTTCATATTTCCTATTACAAAACTATAGTATTATAACATTTGTAATCATTTGATTCAAAAACAGGACATAATTTATATAGACAGGCTATAATTGCTTACTTCCATGTGATTTGAACTCTGGTGGATAGTTGTCTCATTGGCAATCAATCATACCACATCCATTTTTTTATTGTCTGTAAAATCAGTTTTTCGATTTAACTTTTTTAAGATGAATTATGATTAACAAAAATCATATGATAGATTTTCATATTTCCTATTACAAAACTTTAGTATTATAACATTTGTAATCATTTGATTCAAAAACAGGACATAATTTATATAGACAGGCTATAATTGCTTACTTCCATGTGATTTGAACTCTGGTGGATAGTTGTCTCATTGGCAATCAATCATACCACATCCATTTTTTTATTGTCTGTAAAATCAGTTTTTCAATTTAACTTTTTTAAGATGAATTATGATTAACAAAAATCATATGATAGATTTTCATATTTCCTATTACAAAACTTTAGTATTATAACATTTGTAATCATTTGATTCAAAAACAGGACATAATTTATATAGACAGGCTATAATTGCTTACTTCCATGTGATTTGAACTCTGGTGGATAGTTGTCTCATTGGCAATCAATCATACCACATCCATTTTTTTATTGTCTGTAAAATCAGTTTTTGGAAATTTCTCTAATTTGTAGAATTGAATCTATGATGCTATATTTGTATAAGATATTCCTTTACATTGGTGAAGCAGCCATGAAATGACAATAAATTCAGACATTAAATCTTCACTCAATTGTCATTTCTGAATGAATGTTATATTTGTTATTAGTCTGTAGGTATGGGTTTGATGGAACCTTCTCCACCTGTATCTTTCACACCAAGAAAAACAACCGAAATCACACCAGAGGGCACTGCAATTAAACTTTCTCCTGATGATGGTATGTACATAAAAACTTTTAATGATGAGAGAAAGAACAGATGTTCAGTATTTGTCTGAGTACTCTATCACAAATTAGTAGGTGAATGTGTCCTGTTTTTACCTACGTCGCCTCTCGAGCCTCTCATCTGTCTGTCCTTCTGTCAGAAAGACTTTGGGTAGGAAACCTTCGTCAAAAGTTTCTTGGCTTCTATGAGAGGGAATGAATTTAGGATCAGTTATGCTTCAGTATACATGTTACCTTAATTAATTGCATGCAACAACACAGGTTTAGACCCGGTATTGGTTTTGTATGAACATTGATAGGAGGAAAACATGCAGCTGTATATCTTTGACAGTCATTGTAGCAAAACGTAGAACACATATTAATGTTGTTAAAAGCTAAATGTGCAGTAAAGATACAATCTTGATCACCAAGGACTCTTGACCTTATTTATATATAGATAAAATTAGAAAAGCAATAAAAGGAGACTAGATAATGTCAATGAAACAGCAACCAAAAACTATACGTCAAGTTCATTTAATATCTTGATTTGAAATGTGTTGGTTAGTTTCATGACAGTTCAAAGGTATTAAAGAAAAGGTTTGTGGACTTTTGTCAGTGTTTTTATGCCCCTGCGCAAGGTGAAGGTGGCATTAAGTGTTACCCTTGACTGTCTGTCAGTCCGTTCTTCCGTCCGTCAGTCCCATTTTAGTTTGAAAAGCAAGCTTGAGCGGGAGCATTGGTGTCCTCAGACACATTCTTCTTTTATTTTTTAAATCTATTGTGTGAAGAAATGATAATGGATGTAGGTAGACATATTATTATTGCATTTCAGCAAAATCTTAAGCTTTAATGAAAATTGGTTACAACTGTTATTGAAAAGGAGGATGAGGGATATAGTAAAAAGTTAGAATTTATATTGAAGGATACATATGACAGGAAAGGAGCTATCACAGTGATGTTAAAAATAATGCAATTTGTGGTTTGGGAAGGTGTTGTCACATGATTATACATCTCCATCGGGGAGGGAAATTAATATCATATAGAAAAGTATTGACATACTTAGAAAAAAATTAAACATAAACAAAAAAGGTCCAAAATCGCAAAAATCCAGACCATGAAGTGAAATTAAGATATAAAGATAATTATATTAACATTATTGGTTGAGTGAGAATAGTTTGAAACCATATCATCACACTTGAGTAATTTTGTGGTTATAAAGATATTCAAATTAATCAAAAACATACTTTGGATTGTAAAACATAGAAACTATTCAGACCATGAATCCAATTTGAATTTTCAGACTAAAAGGCATTCTCAGTAATATTTTCAAAAGCTTACATGAAAATGACTTGATTCATGACAATTTTGGTTTAAATTTGATACTTTATACTAAAACTGATAATTTGAAATATATTACAGTGACCACACCAGAGGCAGTGTCTAGAATTGCAGATAATGTTACTGGGACTGTAAGAAAGGGTCCAAATAATCTTTTCCAAGGTACCCCTGTTTATGCTGGATCTGTAAAACAGGATGCAAGAAAAACAGAAAGGTATAAACTACTAGTACCAGTACAAGAAGAATTTGCTTCATTATAAAAGCATTTACAAGAACATGTTAAAACTTGATCTCATTTTAATATCCAACACAATTTAAAACATCTTACTGACTTTGATAACTTAAACATATCGTTTGTGCAGGCATTCAAGCTGCTGCTATTGAGGCTTTTCAATAGAGAAGAAGTGTAAACTAAACAAGGAAGAGAACGAACAGTTCTTCACTAAAATGAGAGGGGTGTTATCATACTGAAAATGAATATGGCATTGCTTATGCTGTTTGTTACAATCTAATCTCTGAATGCCAGAGTGTAAGACCCCCAAAAATTTAAATATATCATGCATGTTTGAAGGTTTATGTAGGAAACAGTGTGATATTTATTTGTATAAGTATTTATTCATATTGCTAGTAATCGAGAGGGTTTTTTTACAGGTCCAAATTTATTTTAAAATAAGAATATTAAATGAAGAAACATTTAAATTCATGCGTTTTTATACAGTGTTGTGAATGCCATATCCTTGGCCACAGAAAAATTTGAACACCCAAGTTTTGATATACTGTACTCAAATGGCTACTTTATTTCAGAATTTACCTTAACGGTGTTTGCATTCATTAAAGGCAACCAGAATTTTATTTCTTAGAAAGTGTTAGTAACAAATGAATCAGAAACCAGAAGGAAAATACTATAAATTTTTGTATATATGTAACTATATGAAATCAAATCTTTTGTAGGGTCAATTCAAAATTACCAAAGAAAACAAAAACAGAAAGTTCAAATTCTAGGTCAGTAGATGTTAGAGGTCAGTTGCATTCTACACCAACACGAGCTGCTAGACCAACAGTAAATAATCATGGTATGGAAATATTAAATTCTGTAATTGTGATGAAAAAATGAAATGAAAAAAAATATAATTATTCTGATAACACAGTAATGTCTGTAACCAATCCCTTTATTTCACAGTATTGATATATTTATTTTTTAATTTCATTGAAGAAAAAAATAAAAATATTCCAGCCAGAGAAATGTAAGTGATGAAAGGTCTGATAGTTAGTATGTCTTTTGTACCAAACTTTCAGTAAGGAAAGGAGCAACAAAGCAAATAATAACTTACTGTGGATTCATTTATTTTCGTGGGTATCAATTTTCGTGGATAGAGAAAAAAAGACGTTTCGTGGTATACGTAAATTTGTGGATCGCTGATTACAAAAAAAAAATAAATTCAGATTCGTAATTCGGTGATTTCTTTTTGATTTAGGAGATCATATAACCTCCTTAGTTTGATCAATAATAAAAAAAACAAAAAAGAAGGAATTCATTGAAAAAGTTTTGAATTGTCAAAATCCTCGCTTGGTCATTCTAGGTTAAAGTGTTCATTGAAAACTTCTATTACAATAATGGACAGAGACAACTAATTATTTGTTTGTTTTACAATTTATAAATTCTTGTCGGAATTTTATAAGGCATTCAAAACTCTATGATTGAAAGCTCATTTCCCTATTCACGATATAATAAACAGTCATATAAGTAAAAGGTGTGAAAATAAATGTTCCTGTCAAAAACAATATTACCTACGGGCAATATCCCTGTACTTAATCCTATTGATTTTTAATCACCAGTAAACCAAACTATGACACGGTAATTAACAACTTGCAGTTATTTTCCATGAACAGTTTTAATCAATTTTAAAAAGTAAATTATCACTGATATTCGATATATTTATTATTGATTTAATCAAAATACTTGTATCTTCTTTCAATAAAAACACGTGTTATGTTACAATGTTTATAGTTAGTCAACACTGTACTAGAACTGCATAACATAACCGGAAATAAACATCCGACTCCATACACATTTTTGGGATTATTCTTCGTTGAATTCTTAAATTCGTGGTTCTCTGTGACCAACGAAACCCACAAAAATTGGTATACCACGAATAAAAATGAATCCACAGTAATATGAATTGAAAATCATGAAATATTGTTCTTATAAATCAAGGTGAAAATTGGAGTTTTGTTGTTGCTGAAAAAAGAGAAATTAGAGTGATGCATGAAATAAAAGAAATTGTGGGAGGATGCAGACCCTACCATTCATAAGCCTTTTTATTGATATTTTTTTCCTGATTCTCTAGTGATTTTCGGTTTATAATAATGATAGCCATTATGTGCTTTTATTATAAGAAACTCATTAAGTATTGATGGTTTGCAAATTTTCATTGTCATTTAGATTGGGATGGAATCATACAACAGCCAGAGACATTAATATCACAGCTTAAAAATTCACCACCCCACAGTGAGCAATCTTTTCACAGCGACAGAAACACGAACAAGAGTAATATAACTCAAACATCAGGAACCATAACTCCTAAACTGTCTCCACGATCTGACACAGGGCCTGTAACTCCTAGGAACAAAAGTTACAACTCGCCATTTATTTCACCAAGACAAGGACAAAGGTCAGCAGAGGTCACACCAAGACAAGGTCATAGGTCACCCTCAGACATGATAGTAGATGAAGTTATGGGATTTGGAATGGTTATGTCTCCTGGGATGTCAGGTAAATTAATTAATGCATTTCAATTGTGTGAGATGTTTATTTATACATTTTAAAATTTAGAGTTTCTTTTACAAATTATTGAATGGTTATGGATTTTTAATCATTATGAAATGTTAGTTTTCATTTCAGTAGGACAATTCAAGAAATAATCGATTTTATAAATTGTTTTCTATAAAAATGGAATACTTGATTGTTTTTTTAATATTTTGAAAAGGAGAGAAATGAAGGGGAATGATAATTTAAAGAATAGATTTACTGATTTAGAAATAAGAAGATTTGGTATGATTGCTAATGAGACAGCTCTCCACAAGAGACCAAATGACATAAAAATTAGCAACTATAGTCACGGTACGGCCTTCAATAATGAGCAAAACCAATACTGCATAGTCAGTTATAAAAGGCATCAAAATGACAAATGTAAAACAATTCAAACGAGAAAATTAACGACCTGATTTATGTACAAAATAATGAACGAAAAACAAATATGATATACAGCAACAAACGGCAACCACTGAATTACAGGCTCCTGACTTGGGACAGGCACATGCAGAATGTGGCAGGGTTAAACTAGTTTGAAGGCGCCAACCCTCTCCTTAATCTGGGACAGTGGTGTAACAGTACAACATAAGAACAAACTAAAAAGGCTTGACTCATCAGATGGATACAAAGCAGAAATACATCTGACAAAAACACAGACAGGACATGGCATGGTACATTTACATCCCTACAACAAAAAAGACGCTAAGTACAGATCTGAGAATACTCACAGTTACTGACAGATAGTTCAAAGGCAATAACAACTAATAAAAAATCATGCATCTAAGACTACTTGTTTTCATTTAAAAAAAAGGGAAAAAGGAAAGCAACATAATCTTTGTTGTGGTGTACAATAGAATAATTGAACTATGAATAAGCAATTAGCAACATCTTCATATTACATTATTAGTTATTTGTTTATGCTCAGGGCTTTCCAATTATTTTGAAGTAGCAGGTGAATATCACATAGTAGAAGGGAGGGGGTCTATGAGGGTTTGCATACTTGACCAGGAAATTAAAGCATACAGTCAATTTGACGACAGTTTCCCTAGCTGTTATGGAATGCTCTGTATGCTTAATCTGTTTTATATGATTAATATTTGCCTTTATGTGAGAAAATAGGAATTTATAAATCTTCAACTCAGTTTATTTAAGAATAAGTTTGTGTATGCTGATAGTACTGTGAATATCTTACTTTTCAGGTGCTGAAGCATTTCGAACAAAAGCAGAAATCCCTAGAAGTCCTATAAGTGTTGAGGTTAAAATGATGTTTAGAGAGGCAATGTCGAATGAAAGCAGTCCCCAGTCTGACAGGTCAAGGTCTTCTAGAAGTCAAAAGTCAGCTGAACATAGTTTCAACATGAGTGATCATGGCTTATACATTCAAAAGGACAATCCAACCTTTGGTTATCAGAATTTTTCAAAAACTTTAAATAGATCCAAAAATACAATTTCAAGTTCCAACCAAATGGCAGTTGAACCATCTCAGAATGATGAGATGCTGTCAAGTGATGCCATGAACAATTCACCTTATAATGAAGGAAAAATAAGTAATGGTCAAGAATTAGAACTGTTAAGTAGTTTACAATTGCAAAAAGACAAATATTTGGAAGAAAATCGTCCAAAATCTCCTGTAGGAGAAACTTTAGACTCTATTGAAACTGACCCTGAAGATAATTCTACAACATCTAAATTTAAGTCAAAAGAAAACAGTTTTAAAATACAAAGACCGCCGTCTCCTGTGGCTGAGTTATTGGAAAGTTTTGATTCTGGAAACGAGGATTCAGACAAAATATTGGAGGAGGAAGTTTCTCTGAAAGACGAAGAGGATGATTTCTATTTAGAACAACCTGAAGGTTTACTCTCCTCAGAGGCAGAGGAGGACACACAATATGAAACCTTATCCAAAAAGTTTGAAGGTAATTTATCTTTGTGTGTGGTATAATTTTTTTGGTTCATTCCATGCAATTATATGAAAATATACTGTGTATCTTGTAGTAGCTGCTGCTATGAGAATGATGTAGGGTTGCTGAGTGAAATACATTTACTCTTTTTTTTTTAATTTAGGACTGTTTTCTGTCTTTTGAAGAAATCCTTTCAGTAGATGAAACATGACCTTATGCTAGGGATAACACCTGTTGAAGGTTGAGTTGCAAAGATTTTTTTTTTTTAATTGAAAAGGTGTCATCATTGCATATCATCACCAGAAGTCTGACTTTCATCGATCAAAACTAATTTTTCATGAGAATTAAAAGGTTAAAAGTTATACAGTTTAGGTTTTTAAAAGAATAAAATGGTAAAATCCTGTCTGAAGTTGTATATATATATATATACATATATATATGTGTGTTAAAGTGTGTTTGCTGATATTCGATGTATTCTCTAGATAATACGCCTGTATCCATGTATGTTTTAGTCAAACCTACATAGGGATTTTTCCATGTCTTGATTTTACCAACAGTTGTTATATTTCGTTGGACACTTAAATTTGTGGAAAAAACCATCCACGAAAACCATGAAAATTAGTACCACACAAATAATAGTACTTTTACAGTACATCCGAATATTGCTATATATGATTAAATTTATATTTTACATTACAGAACAAAAGGCTTTCATTACAAAAGAGGTCATTCCAAGAAGCCCTCTGAAGGATGAAATAAGACGGATGTTCAAAGAAGCAATGTCTGATGTAGAGGATTCACCTTTACATAAAAGTAATTATTATTATTATGTTTGTGGAATCTGGTAATATTTTCAATACAACCAAGCACACTATAAACTCTTCTGTGATATGTGAACTGAATAATTTACCTGTCCAATAAATTTTCTTTGAGAATGGTATCTTATTGCCACTGATATTTCCGTTGTACTGATATAAAACTTATAGGGAGTCACCAAATTTGTTTTTTAATATCAGTAGTTGAATCTTTTGCACAGCATGCAAAAAAAAACTGAAAAGTCCGAAGAAAGTATGACATTGTGACTGCATTATGTTTCAAAATCTAATTGATCAATGTTTTTAAGATATATCAGAAACACATAATGACTTTATATTGCAAAAATGCTTTTGGTGACCCCTTCTAATGCTATATCAATAAAATAAAAGTTTCAGTGGCAATAACATAACATTTTCAAGGGAGTTCTTTTGACAGGTTTTTGAGAAAAGGAATTTTAACTTATAATTATTCAATATTTTCTGTGATATTTAGATACATTCATTTATACTTCATTCCAGAGAATATTCGGTTTGCTTTAACTCTGAAACTGTAAAAGTTCTTCATATGCAGTTACTGGTTCTCTAGTTGCATGGGTCTGTGAAATCACACATTTACCATAACCTACCTGCTACCTTAATTCAACTAAGTAATTTATTTCTAGGTTTTCTTTATAAAGATCAGAAGATCTTTGTTGAAATAATAAATACATAATCTACACGAAAACATTGTAATGACACACTTACCAATACTAGAAATAAAGGTAATAGATTATTTAGTATAAAACGTGGAGCACTAGACATCTCACCCTTACACTTCTTGATGGTAATTTCAATGGGAATAATTATCAAAGGTACCAGTCTTATAATTTGATAGGCCAGACACGCGTTTCATCTACATAAGACTCATCAGTGATGCTCATATCAAAATAGTTAGAAAGCCAAAACAAGTACAAAGTTGAAGAGCATTGAGGACCCAAAATTCCAATTTATATCAATAATATCTTGATCAAGGGTCCGGAAACGGTCATATTTGCCAGTCATGTCCTAAGATGAAACTATTTGTCCTAAACGAGTAATTGGGATTTAGGACAAATTTTATTTTTTTACAGAAGTAATTTCGGTCATTTCTTTGACTCAGTGTTTGAAATCGGATTTCTTAATCGCCATTTTGCACTTGTGATCACTTGTTTTTGTTTATAATCCCTTTCCTGTAATAAAACTGCCACTACAGAAGTTTGATAATCCTGAGGGCCCTCCTAATATCTTTATCAATGCCTCCGGGAAACATTGGCTAATGATCGCTAATCACTTTTTACCTGTGGTTTTAATTCACACCTGACAGTGATCACAAGCTCAGAATAATATCTTTTTAAAAAACATTAAAGTTCCCTGACAAGTATATTCATTATTTATTTACTTTCATCAAAGACAGTCAACAATTCTGATTTAAAAATTAAATCGAAATTTACGTAGAAAAAAGTATTTTTTTCATGAGTAACACATGTGCTTTATTTACTATGTAATACGCATGCGTGAAATTGTCTTCAGCAAATTTAATATTTTAATAATCGTTAAATGCAAATTGATTTCATGCTAAATTAAACGATTGCAACCATTATCTGTTATATTCAAACACTTTTAAAGGTAATAAAATAAAAAAAGCCTTAAAAAGCCAGTGATTTCCTGTCAATTTGATAAACAAAACAAAACCCGGAAATGAATCCGGAATTATTTGTACTTTAAAATATTGCAAACTTCCGGTTTTAACTTTGTCAAATCGAAAAGAAACGTAAGCAATGTCTGAGAAATTAACCATTTTGAGTCATTAAAATCATTTTAATTTTAGACTGTTGCCTTCCCTTAACTGTCCTTCATGGTAATGGTAAGACATTTACTTAGTAAATGCGATGAAACAGCAATACAAGTTCGTCATGTTCATTGATGCTATGAATATAGTCAAGTTGATATCGACAATTTGAAAACGGGCACCAACTTTTCAAACATCTCAAAATGACCGAAATTGTCTGGAAAAATTTCCGGATCCTTGATCTTGATATAGGTCAAAAACTAGTTAGGCAATTTTTGTTGGAATATTAAACACTCCTTGGAAATATAGATTAGATGAAAAATTTCCTTGTAAGTGCTCTCTCCCTTACAATTTTTGACATGTTATTTTTAAAAGAGATTTACTTAGAAAACCTATGTTTTTTTGAATTTTGAAATTGAATATTTTATGTGCATTTCCTTGATTAGAAATGTGTGTCAAAATTTGATTTTTATATGATAAACCTTGCCTAACGATTTTGTTGGATTTCGATCAAATAGATACATATGCAGATTTTATATGAAGAAAATTCTGTTGATGTTAGTTGAATGCTAATTGAAGTTTTATTGGATTTGAGGCAGTAAAAAAATTTAATTTTTGTGAAAAATTGCCATATAAGACCTTTCCTGTATGTTGAATATTGACATATTGTTCTATTGTTTTAGGTAGTAATAGGCCTCACTCAGATAGTTTTTCAAGGTCAAATCACAGTAAAGGGAGAGCAGCAGGTATTGATGATAGTTGTAATGCCTTGCAAGCAGGTATATTTGTTTCTCTAGCACAAAAAAAATAAATAACCGTGAATTTTTCATTACTGATTTATATATATATATCACCAAATTGTCAGATAAGTATGAAAAAAAGGAGATGGGGTGATATAACAATAAGACAGCAATCCAACGAAAAAATAACCAAAACCATCTGGAAGCAACACATAGTCTTCAACAATAGACTATGTCAAGTTATAAATTGTACCATTCAATAAAAATTGTGAATAAATTTAACAGAAACAGTAAAAAAAACTGTTGTTTACACCCAATTATCCATATAATGAAAAACATTAAGATACTACTTTTGACAAGGTTCTTGACTTTGGGCAGGCTCATGAATTTGTCGCTTATTATGACTATATTTGGCATATGGGATCCTTTGAAGGTTTACATGTCTGTCTGAATCTTTAACATTTGTTGGCAAAGCTTAACCATGAATTTAAATGTTTAATAAAGTATAAATATGCTACAGTCTTGTTTGCACTTTTTGGAAAATCCATGTTATCAAATATCCATTAAGATGCATTGTTTCCTCAATCCATGAAACCGGTACCAAGGAAAGAAATGAATCAACAGTATTGTACTAATAGACATCAATAACTTTTTTATACCCCCGCTTTAAAAAAGTGGGGGTATACTGTTTTACTTCTGTCTGTCCGTCCGTCCGTCCATCCATCCATCAGTCCTTGAGTCCGTCCTTCCAACCCATAAATATTTTTTGTCGCATCTTTCTCAGGAACTACATTACAAGGATTTCTGAAATTTGGTTTCAGGGTTTATATAAGTCAGCTTTAACCGTGTGATGCGTTTTCAGATTCATCACTCAACAACTTCCTGTTTACAGAACACTTACATATTTTTACACTATTAAAATTATCCACTTGCGGCGGGGGTATCATCAGTGAACAGTAGCTCACAGTTTCACTTGATTAACCTCCATGCAATGTATTACAAAACTTTGTATTTGTCAGTCAACATTACACTTATCACAACTGAGGCACACGGTTTAGTAGAACCCTTTACAATTTTTACTGTATGCCCCGATTATGGAATTTTTCTCTCATCATATTACTCATATTCTGTATTTAGGAAAGGTATTTGTTCTGGGACTTTATGATGATAAGAGGAACTTATAATTTTATGTTGTACTGTGTAGTTAAGTGATTTTCAGACCTGCATGGCTGTGACTTCCTGTTTGGCACAACTTTGAACTTTTATTGTGCTCATCGAGCATGGAATTTTTGTCAATGTCTGATAAATGGTCAAAACTACAAAGTACAATGTCAACAGCAATTGAGGCAAGACACAGGATCTGTAGAACTCTTTACAAATTTATATTATACCCACTGAGCATAGATTTTTTATTTACATATTACTCAGATTCAGCATTAAGGAATGTGTTTTAGTCTGGAACTTTTATGATGTTGAGTCGAACTTATAAATGTTTATTTGTATTGCGTAAAAGATTTTCAGACCTGCATGTCTGTCAGTCTCTGTTTGACAATACTCTGAATTTTTATTATACTCGCTGAGCATTGAATTTTTGTCAATGTCTGATAATGAGTTAGAGGTGTACTTTGCATTACATCATGTGCAATTACAGTTTATATTGTTTTTATTATTAATTGTATATTTATTTACTCTATTTAAAGGTAATAGCTTTGATTTGCAAGGAGCAGGTGATGGAATTGGTTTGGAAGACATAGAAATGCCTGATATGCCATTAGAAGATTCTTTTGGTGAAAATTATGGTGCAGGAATCCCCAACAACACTTCAAATTATTCGAACAAAGCTATTAATCGTGAAAGTGTAGGTCTTGATTTGATTTCCTTCACAACGCCAAAGTCAGAAGTAAATTTATTTCAAACTTATGATGCGAGAAAATTAAAGGAGGCAAAACATGATCTAGATGAAATATTTAGTCAAAGTCTTCCATTAAGGGTGGAAAATATTCGTCAAGCAGAGACGAAGCAACAGCTTACAGAGAATAAGACACATTTAAAGCAGTTAGAAAAATCTATTGGTGAACTTGAAGGAAAGTTACTGGAAATCAGTTCGAATGAGTTTCTGAATCCTGACTCAAAAGATGATTCTGATTTAATTGATAATTTAGACGATTCGTTTGTACCTGTGAAAGGTGGTGTTTTAGTTGAAGGTGGAACACCTTTGAAATCTAGGTCACTTCAGAATGTAAACGAAGTACCAACAAACAATAGTAACGATATACGAACTAGAATGCAACAACTTAAAGAGGTTGCCAAGAAAATTAGTTCAGATTTTAATGTATAACCTGTCTCACAGTATTAAATTATTTTTAAGCCTGAATGAATTCTTTAATTTATTGTAATGACCCCTTTTTTAACAGTGTTTAAAATGATAAATACGTGCATAATAGTATAAATACAACATCAATAGAGTAAATTTGGGAAGAAAAATAATGTTTTTTTAAATAGTCTTTAGCACAAGTAATTGTCTTCCTAATATATTAAAATTCATTACCTGGTACTCTTGTTATAGTAGGTTGTATAGTTATAGTACTTCAGTGTATCTTATTTGCTATTAAAGGAGACTGCAGTGGTGTCTATTTTAAGAATAGTATGTCTTGCTCTAACCCATGCCAACCTGCCCCCAAAGAAACTTGTTCAAAATGCCCATGTGTCGTTTTCATATTTTAGTGAAATTGATTCAACTCATGTAAAGAAAAGCAATCATTTTCCATAATGATCTATCAAAAGAGAGGCAAAAGATACTGTAGGGATATTCAAACTAATAATTCAAAACCAAACTGACAATGCCATCGCAGAAAATGAAAAACGACGAAAAGACAAACAATAGTACACAAAACTAAACATAGAAAATGAAAAACTGAGCAACACGAACACAACCAAATACCAGGGGTGATCTCAGGTGTTCTGGAAGGGTAGGTAGACCCTGCTTCACATGTTGCACCTGTGATGTTGCTCATGTAAGTACAAACCCGATAAGATTTATCAAGGTGCAAATTTTTATCACTGTAAACCATCATAATATAAATCTTATCTGTAAATTTTTTTTTACTGAGCCACTAGATTCCTTTTTTTTTTAAGACTTTGGTTGTCTCAATAATTTTCTAAAATTGTTAAAAACATTTTGCTGACTTACAAAAATTACATTCCTCAGGTGTTTGAATCCTTTAAAACAGTAATGTATTTAACCGACCTGCTGCTTTACACATTTTGTAATACATTTATTTTGTGCATGTTTCTTTCAACCTTGAAAATTTCAATAGTTATCAGATAATACAAAATGGAGATAAAATAGTACTGACTTTTTATCGGATCAGTAGTCAGTACTTCGGTACTGACATGATTTATAACAAACCTTTCTAAAATTGTCCATTTATAGATTTTGAAATTATAAAGAAACTGAGGTTTCAACTCCCTCAGGCAAAGTTGACCTTAGATGGATTTGGCTATTTTTAAGGTACTTTTGGTCATATAGCTCTTCAACTGTTTCGGTTCTTATACATCCTTGGCTTTCAAATATTCAGCTTTGAGTGTTCCTGATGAAGGTAAATCCAGAAAAGTGCTTTGGACACATTAAATTTATAACGCGTTGTTTTCATTTTTTAATTTGCTCGACATAGATCAGGAATTATATGATTCTACATCAAATTTCTTAAATTATATAATATACTATATAACTGTTTCCTTGTATTGCTGATATATATATGACACAAGTAAATTCAGTGAGCTACTGTTTAAATAAAATGGATGCCAATTATGTTTTTGAAATTGAACAAAGAAAGATACCGTATATAGTTGATGAATCATAGATACATGTATAAGATATTAATTCACAAAAAGTATCTTACAGAGGACAATTAACTAATTATTATAATGTGAAAGAGTTTTATGCAGATGCATTGTAAAATAGGGTCAACTTGAGGATATTAACTGTAAATTCAGAAATTAAAGGGATGTTTTTATGAATGAAGAAAATGCAATGAGATGAAATTTTCAATAATTAACACTAGCTTTTCAAGTTTTGCTAATGAAATTCTTCTAAAACTTGTTCCAGAATTGAAATACATATCTTGCATTGTCTTTGGTTGTCTAATATTTGCACTAATAAATACATACGATATATTTTTTATTTTAGTACAGTATGTTATGATAAGTTTATTGTTGTAAGTGTATGTTAGGCCATTTGTTAAGTGTTTATGTATTATAAACAAAAAGATATTTATTTGAAACATTAATGATTGTTTGTACATTGCAAATAATGAAACATATACAGTGTGTAATAATTATCAGTAGGTGAAGTTGTATGTATTTAAAACATATTTAAACCAGATTGTGCTTTTTCTTATTTCAAACTTTTTTATGTTGCCGAACAGCAAAACTATAACGACACATAGGGGTCATTTCTGTTGTCTTGCCTCGTCTCTGTCACACTTTGTTAATCTGCAAGTCCTAGATAATGGGTTAACAGAATTCCACCAAACTTGTACAGATTTTTATACAAGACTTGAAATTGTTCACCAGCTATTTAATATTTGATCTGAGCTATTTTTGGGGTTCTTTTACCAAAACCAGGACTTTGCCATTCTGCTTGTATTATTTGCAGATTGAAGGTGACACATGTCTCCTTTGAAAGACTCACATTTTTTTGCAATTTGTAACAGCTTTACATTCAGATTTTAACTTAAGAAATTCAGATCCTTGCTCTATAGATAGATTTTGATTGACACAATTTGAGCAAAAGTGATTTCCCTTTTGTTTCCATGTTGAAGGTTTAAGTGCACAAATTCCTTCATAAATAAAAAAATCAAAGCATTATACTGACTACTAGCCTTTAGAAAAAGGATTTTTCTGAACAAATTTTTATTTTAAGCCTTGCTCAATTCATCACAATGATCTAGTAAGGATCTCTTATCAGACTTTCAGACTTGTGTGTTTCTCATGTTTCAATTTGGTTAGTCAAATATGAAAATCAACCTTTCCATAATGGCGACCAAGGGAAGTAACTCAAACTCAAATTATGTCATTTGAAACCTCTCTATTCAAAGTCATCCTTTTACATTTGTAGTTTCCTGATTCCATGAAAATGGAAACAGTCTAACTAACTAAGTACGTTGGATAAGTCATCTGCTGAAAAATTGTTAACAAATAAAACATTAAAAGGTATTACTAACAGGAACAACCAAATATTTTGGTCAGTTGAATGTTTTCTGCTTTAATCAATCTACAGTGGATAACAATATCCTTGTTTGGACTTCTTACATTTTCTTTTTTCATTTTGAATCAATTTTACCTAAAAGCATTACAAGTGATTAGGGATATGTTCCTGCATGTAAACTGGCTCTTATGGGTATGAAAAATAAGCATTCTCCTAGATATTTTATTTTTGCATTCTCTCATTGAAGATTTTAAAAAGATTACATGAAATATATATTTTTTTGTGAGAAATTTATGAATTCATTTTAATATTTCATTTATTATGAAATTATATGCAAGTAAGTGCTGCAGTTTTAGGATTGAATAAACTATTTGAAATGTTTGATTTGTTATGATTCCATTTACTCCTAGTACTGAAACTTCTTTTTTCGAACTGATGATGATAATCTTTGCCTCCTTTCCATTATCAATCACTCCATTATAATTTTGTGGTAAAATTTTCAACAACCATTAATTGCAATCATACCCAACGGAAGCCCCACGGAACAAACTTCTGTAGGGTATAATGTTTTTGAACCTGTCAGTCCTTTTGTCTTTTTGTCTGTCAGTCCTGTTCTTGTCATCCCGAATACTTTTAAACCACACAACAGAATTTCATGAAACTTTGTAGATTATAAGGACATACCATGTAGATGTGAATATTGACAGGGAATTATGATTCAACTTGTTTCTAGGAGATGAGCCCCTTAGAACTTAGAATTTTGGCCTAAATATACTACTGCAACAGTTGTCATTGCAACTTCTCTAAATCCACACAACAGAATTTCATGAAACTTTGTAGTTAATTAGGACATACTATGTAGATGCGCATATGGACAGAAAATTATGATTCATTTTTTTTCCAGGAGTTAAGCCACTTTGTACTTAGAATTTTGGTCTAAATATACTACTACAACAGTTTTTCATCGTAACTCCTCTGAAACTACACAACAGAATTTTATGAAACTTTGTAAATAATAAGGACATAATATGTTGTATTTCCACAAGAAATTTTTATCAGTTGACTTTTGTAGGCGTTATAAGTCTTTGAACTTGGTAATCTGGGGAGATTTTGTCTACTCAATGACAATTTTGGGGTGTGGGTTATGTGAGCGTGCTCACAAAGGTTCTTTAATTTGGAAAATGACATTGAGCTGTTAATGGTAAGTGATAAGTAGTAATAATACAACGGTAACAATTTTATTTTACCAGATGCACATTTCAAAATTTAATGTCTCTTCAGTGATGATTGAAGCCAAAATAAATGAAGTCCGCAACCTAATACAAACACTGAAGACCTGATAAACCAAATAGGACAGCAAGTCAAACCAAACCTGAACAAGGAATTAGAGCTATGCACAACGGAGACACATTCCTTAATTTAAAATGATTTGGAAATTTTATAACAGCAAATTTAAATGGAATATTTGTAAAGTGAGATGCATTGTCACATCTTTTACTAACTTTGCCTCCATTGTACAAGACTTTAGTGTAGACAGATTTAGATTATACTAGTTTAATATGGGCCCATATATTAAACACTGACCAGAAATATGGTATAAAATGAATAGTAATAAAATTTTTCATCTAAGATTAAAAACAAGTTTGAGGAAATGCAGCTTTGCCAATAGAATAAAAACAACTTTGAACAGTGCCACTTATAAATGGAGTAAGAATCTTGTTTGCCTCATGTTTTATTCTATTTGCATCGGCTGTAAATGTGAGATATTGTCAGTGAAAATATTAAAAATGTTACATGAAGGATAATATGGCCTATATTTGATGGTGACAGAATTCAATAGACAAACGGGTCCTTTTGTATGTCCACATACAAACACGCACACATTTGGGAGAAAATTGGAATTGCTAAAAGAAGTTTGAATACATTATTTAGCTGGATAGGCATCTCCTACTTTGCATACATTATTCATTTTACGATTCGATAGTAAGTTACAGCTAAATACCTTACAAACTTATATCTTGTGGTTACAAACTGTCAGCTCATTTTTAGTTTTAGATCACCTGGCCCAAAGGGTCATATGATTTTTTTGCTATCGCTTTGCATATTTTATCTGTCTTCTGTACACTTTTCTTTTAAAATCTTCTCTGAAACTGCACAATGAATTGAAACTGAAGTTTGTCTACTTTATCTATAAGATGTAAACTATAAAAAATGTGATTTTCGTCCAGCTTTATTAACCAACATTGCAGCTATGTCTTAAGTTAAAACATAGGGATCAAACTACAGTTTTGGCTTATATCTCTTAAACTTTAGCAATAGAGGATTAATTGATGGGTGAAAATGGCCTGCACAACAAGTTCAAAGTACCTTGAAATTTTTTGAAAAATCTGTCCACATGTTATGGAGTTATTTCCTCTGAAATGTTGATTTTTTACAATTTTGGCATTTCCTTTGAAATGTTATCAGCATGAACAGATGTATCCTCACACTGAAAATTAAAGAAAAATTCTAGACCTTGTTTCTGGGTTATTGCCCCATAAGTATTGATTTTCAGCACAACAAGATGTATCTATCCTTATAATTGGAGACCAGTTTTGGAGTTGTTGCCACTTAAATAATAATTTTTCCAGTTTTTGGCTGTTATCATTAAAAATATAGGAGCTAGGTTATAAAAATGAATTAAAAAAAATTATCAGCAAACCCTAAAAATTTCAGAAAAATCTGTCATCCAGTTTTTGAGTTATTGCCCCTGGGGTCTTGGTCATAAAACTTTGCTTGAAACACCAAATCCAGTATTTTTGATTGGTTCATCTCTAAGTCTGAGTACCATAATCGTACTCAAAATTTTTATGACTGCAAGGCCTGAAATATACATTTTTCCAATTTATTGATTTTTTTTGCTCACTCCCCCATTGCTGTTATATTGAAGACTATATGAGCTAGGTTAAAAAGGTATACTGCAAAAATGATCAGAATGACAAGCTCTATCTACTGTGATATTTTTGACAAAAATCCTTTATGAGTAATTGCCATGCAGTGTTGTTTTTTACAGTTATGGCAGTTACCTCAAAACTTATGGGAGCTAAGTTAAACATATTATTTTCAAAAAAGATCAGCAAGAATACAATTGCATGTGCATATTAAAGTCCTATTTAGTAAACTCATGTTTTTTCATCAGGGTAACAATACAAGCACAGGTGTGCCTCTTGTTCTTTAGGCAAACAGAATCATTTTAAGGGGATGTAGGGTACTGATGGTACATAACTTGCTAACATATTTTCCTTACCAACCACCCAGCATAGCTATTATGACTGAAAACAGGACATAGGGTTGTACATGAAATTCATTAGAACAACATGTAAAAAGTTACTTTGCAGACTGGGCTTATATTATACATCAATGAGATGATGCAATTTTGATTCTTCATTAATAACGGTAATTATTGGGCTGCTACAGTAAAACATGGTTCCATACTGAACCTTTAAAGAAATACCTGTAAATATTTCTTCTAGGTAACTGCTTAACAGATAGTTTTATCAATAAATTACCATTTAAAAACAAAGGCAGATTAAGGGGCACCCTTCCTTATGGAGCTACATATTAGTAAATGCATAGACTTTTTACAAATCCCAATTTTAATGCTGCCTTGGTAGGCCACCCTTTTTCAAAATAGTGGATCAGCATTTGGAAGACACTCTTTATATAGATATAGGAAGATGTGGTATAAGTGCCAATGAGACAACTCTCCATCCAAGTAACAAGTTATAAAAGTAAACCATTATAGGTCAAGGTACAACCTATTATTCAAAAATTAATACTTGTTGAGAATTGAGAGTGGATTGGGTTTACAGAATAGATATTAGGCCAGAAAAATACAGAAAAGAGAACAATAGGGTTCTTAAATATAAAGAAAAGTGTAGAGAATAATTTGCCAAAAATATAAAAAAAACAACAAAAATGGCCTAAAAAATAAAAGAAAACAGAATTTATGTACCCCTCATAATAAGGGAGCTGCCATTTGATTTTTATGGGGGGGGGGCTAGGATGAAAAATTTTGTCCTGCATTTTTTTTTAGTTGTAATCTCTGTCCTGCCTTTTTATTTTTCACTCTATTCGGTCCTGCCTTTTTTTTTTTTTAGTTTATCCTGACTTTTTTTTACATAAATTGTCATCTTGCCTTTTTTTTTTGCGAAGTGTCTCATCCTGCCTTTTTTTTTACTCAAAACTCCTGTCCTTCCGATTTTTTTCAAATTTCATCCTAGCCCCCCCCCATAAAAATCAAATGGTAGCTCCCTAAGGGACATCTGGGATCAGTATTTAAAGTATTACAGGCGTGGATCCAGGATTTGATGTTAGGGGGCGCTCCTGAAACTTAAGAGTTAGAGGACCATATTTTGACCAAAAATTGACTAATTTTACCTATAAAGTACATTTTTTCTGTTTTTAGGTGGGCCCATGCCTGGTTTGACCTTGAATGAATCCTTGCCTATGTTTACACAAAGAGTAATTTAATGATATCTGTATGCACTTTCATACCTGCCAACCTCTGAAACCTTCAAAGAGGGAGATCTCCCCCTCAGCTTTTAATAACTAAAAAACTAAAGTCCAGTCTTTTAATTGACTGAAAGAATCTACACAGTTTAATCAGAGATATTATGTCTCTGGTTTAATGACTTTAAACCAAGCAATGTTTCCAATAAATAACTTTCAATTAAGTTGTTATTATATCAATATATAGTACCTCATTTCATATACAGTGCATGCATGGCCAAAAGTATTTGTCACCTACATTTTTTTTGGCTATATATTTCATATAAAAACACATTTTTTTTTAAATACTTCAAAGGCCTTTATGGTTGGATTTTTACAAATCAGGTGTTAAAAGATGCAGAATTGTTGAAAGTAAATTTGTTTTATTTGCACATAGTATTTTCTTCATTTGTTTTTTTTGTTTTCTCCTGATTACTTTGGTTGAAAAATATCAAGGATGTTTAGTTATAAATCTTTGGAAATATATAGCAAATCTATAAACAAAAAATAATACAAGTGTTTATGTCCTCAGAAAACGAAATTTCTCCACAACAAAAATACAACCAAATAAGCAAATAAAACTGTGACAATTCTTTTATTGGTACCAAGTTGTTTAAGGGATTCGCGTATTGCTTTTTTAAAGTTTTTAATTACTTCCCCTTGTTGAACTCTTTTGATTATTGCCTCGATTTCACGAATCACGTTTGGACAGCCAAGTGACGCCGGTTCTTTACCACTTGTTTTACAAATAATTCCAAAACCTCTAGCAATCATGGTGCTAGAAGAGATGGGAGAGTTGTTAGAGATGTTCAAGCACAGTTTTCCTCTTTCTTTTTTATTTTTTATCCCGATTCTTGTATTGATTTCACCTGTAAACACAGCACATGAGTTCTCAGCGTTTCGGATGCAGCAGTACGATCTTCATGGCTCGCATCATGGTAAACAAATTCATATAAATTCTGTTTCACCCACAGACTTACTATTGTTTTTGGATTTGTTTTCAGGAACCAGACGTTCTATTTATTTGATTCGAGTAGGAAAATCATTAAATGGAATACTAGGTTTGAGCTGTAGGATGTAAATTATTTTTCATCAAAATTATGCTTGCTTAGAAATAAAACAGTACAGGGTTTGACACTAACTAAATGTATGTACTAGCCTGCAGTGCTAGTGAAATTATTATTCTACTAGTCCTCTTGTCAATTTACTAGTCCTCCAAGTGCCGAACTTTTGTGCCACCGGCACAACCTTATCTAGGAGGGTCGGGGGGGCATGCCCCCCCAGAAAATTTTGATACAAATGAAGCTAAATCCTGTGTTTAGGAGCATTTCCAGAGGGTTTTGAACATGTTTTGTTTCATGAAATTTCACTGATTTGCTTATAAAAAATACCAAAAAAAAAAATCTATTAAGAATGTGTTTGACTTATTTTGAAGACCCCTTTAGATCATTATCCTCATTTTACTTATCATTATTACTAGTGTCTTTAATGAAGATGGATAAGTTAGGGATTTAAAAATACACCCACAAAAGAGGAAAGCTTTGCCCTTGCTGTTTTTTGTCATAATTCTTCATGGACTCCTTCTTTTCCCTTGTTGTTTCAGTTTATTATTTTTTTGCAGGACAAGATTTTATTCCTAAAAATCTGTATATTTTTACCAGAGACCAAGGAATTGTATAGTATACAAATCCTTGCAGAGACCTATAATTTTGTTTTTATGACAATAATTCAGTGATATTGTTTGCCTCAAATTACATTCGAAATACAGCTTTTTCCCCTAGAGAAAATTCCCAATTACTAAAAAACTGGCTTAAAATTCCTCCCAATAAGTTGTACATTTTTCCCAAACAGTGATGGTATCGGTAGTAATGTATGTAAATTTTGTATTTATGTTATTATTTTGATATTATGAAAGCAGTGTCTTCCCTAGAAAATTTTTCATGCATGGTGGGTTCATGGTGGATTTGCAACGCGGCGCACGATGATTCTTTTTCAGAATTAGTTACACTACATAATTTATATGTATATAGCCATATACCAATCTAATTGTTTTATTATAGGTAAGTCATGGAACTTTAAAGTATTTATTACAGATGAGAGGAATTAATGAAAGACCTTATAAACAATAATAAAAATAATCCAGTCTGCACAAGTTATTTACAAATTTAAAATGTCATGTACACATTATTTTGTTGATATCTTCCTCTGTTTCAACTTTCCAAAGGTCCCCACACATTTTTCAAAAATCAAAATCTTCCTCCTTTGGTCCTTCAATTGATATATGCATTAAGCAATTCAGCACATTTTGGCATAGTCTGTTTCTCAAAGGTGTTTTAACTCTGTTTAAACATGAAAAACACCTTTCACATTCAGCTTTTGAAACTGGCAAAACAAGACCCATTGCTGCTATTTAGACAGACAAGGATACAAAGTTCCAAGACTGGCAACTTTAATTTGTTCATTGTCTGCCTAAATGCTATGTCTTTACATTCTTTCACTAACAGTGTCCTCACTTTGCTGATAGAATGGTTTCAGCAGCAACAGCAAGTTGTTAAATAAAACTTCGAATGTCATCATTGCTTCACAGAGATTTTACAGGAAACAATAAAAAAAAAGTTTATTTGCGTTAATTACAGAAGTCGTCGATGAAGAATACCCGACATATTTGGCAATTACCTGTTTGGAAGCTAAGCTGACATTTTATTTCATGACAATTAACTATTTTTTTTTAAATACATTCCTGTCCGATTTATTTATAACGCTTCATAATTGTAAAAATCCTATCTAGTCTAAGCAAGGATTTGTATAGCTCACTATACAAATCCTTGGTCTAAGTGAAAGAAATTTAGCCTCACTTGTGTAAAAAACGGCAAATGAATCCGCTATGTGACCCATTGAATTAACGATAGAACAACACTAGTTTATTAAAAACAATATTTCCGTAAATAACTACGTATGTTTTGAAAGTTTTTCCATCAAATGTTTTAAATATTTCATAAGACACGTCTTTTTCTCGGCCCCGTTGCGGTGATGTGTATTCTTTGATATAATCAATCAACCGCGACTAATCTAAAAATAACTGAATGTTGTGACCAATCAAAAAATAATGCATCGATGTAAATATGGATATAGCTGATGAAAAAACTGCGAAACTTTAAAAAAAAAAAGAAGATTTTTCCATTCTTGGTGAAATTACGTTAGTTTTGTTTTATAATACCAGAGACTATACCAAATTTTTAAATTTACTTTTTAAAGATCACAGTAAAATAACGATGTCAAACACCGGTCCGTTTTTTGGTGAATTTTATACTGGAAAAGGTTAAACATTTTATTGAGCACAGAAAGATATGCATTGGAGATTAATCTTACTATTTATTTATCAGCTCACTGGCAACTTCTATTATGTAACCGAAGTCTCGATGTACAAATGTATATTAACCAACTAATCAAGAAGGTTGTAAAATCCCGGCACGCGCGACGTGATGCATCCAATTATCAGTCAGATGAGCTTAAAATACCTCCTGTGGAGTGTTGTTACTTGTCACTTCACTTTCAAAATATCGATAATAAATATTTTACACAGTTATAATTTTCACACATAGCGGGATGCATTGCGGCAATGATGAAAGCATGGCGGTCGAAATTTATGCGTAGCGGTACCGCAATGCTTGAATAGCCTAGGGAAAACACTGGAAAGCACTTTTGAGATCGAGGTTTTCGGTTTAGAATCATCACGGCATTTGTAACACACGTGGTTAATTCAATGTATTAAGTACCATCATTGTTTCCGTTTCTTTCCCCTCCCCAAAAAATACCTTTCATGTTAAAAATGTCTGACAATCAAAATATACGTGAATAAACTGTACAATAAAGTCAGCAAAGGTCAGCAAAAAATCTGGGATTTGTTGACAATTAAAATTTTGTGAAATTTCTAGTTTAAAACAAAATTTTGACTAGCCCGTCAGACTACTGTGATGAAAACTTTACTAGCCCTCCCTAATTTTTACTAGCCTCGGGCTAGAGGACTAGCGTTAGTGTCGAACCCTGCAGTAAGGTCTTCATTTACTTTAGGGGTCTCTAGGTTGGGGTTTATTAAGGGTCGGGTCATGGTTTTTTCTAGGATTAGTCTTGGTGTTAAGTTAGGAGATAGGCATACTTGGGGTTGAGTATCCCAAACTGAGGCAAAAAAAATGTGAATTGACTGTCACATGCTGAAAAAAAATAGGGTCGGTAGGTCGATTTTTTTTAGGGGGAGAAGGGTTCAATGTAGTTTCTTGACACAAGTAGCTACATACAGAGAAAATTTCAGAAAATTGCAGATAAAAAAGTTAGGGTCGCGGCGATAAAATGAGGGTCGGTAGGGTGACCATTAACACATATTTTTTTGTGTGGCCGAATTGATATTACCCAGAAACACTTCTCTTCTTTCATTATCAGCATAGGAACAGCATTACTGTGTCTCTGGTCTCATTATGGAAGTGTGATGAAGAGGTTTTCTTTAAAGGTGTCCGAGTCTGTGTCATCTGTGTTTCCTGGAACTTGGTTCCAGTTTCAGATTATTCTTTGATAGAAGCTGTGTTCATTTTCAGAAGTGTTGCATGATAATGACTATGTTGTGTTTTTCAATTGTTAACAAGATAATACTGTGGCATTTCGGTGGCTACTTGGTTGTATAGTATCTTTTAAAATAGGAATAATTTACCAAGCTAGCAAAGGTATCTGTGTCAGCCACATCTGTTGGTTAAAGACTGCAGCTCCTGGGAACGAAAAAAGTCGGGAGTGCTGGATTACTTTTTGCGAGCTAAAGGTTGAATTTATGGAGATAGGACTCAGCTAGTTGAATCCAGTCTCATCCTGCATGACACAAGTTAATGAAATGAGGAGACCACTGGAATTTCCTTTTGTCATTGGCTTTTTTTTTGTGTTTAAACTTTCCATTCACCAGGTTAAAATCAAAAGTTCTTCGACATCACAAACAATATACCTGGTAATACTGTATGAATGATTTTCTTACACCAAAGTTAAATCAAGAAGACCTTGGCTTTAATCCTGAACAATGACGAATATTCTAGTAAGGTGCCTGTGAAAATATTTTATAGTCCTGACAAATTAATTGTCCGTGACCCACTAGGGTGCCTCTGTCCGTTGACATGAAAGTACATAGCATTGTACAACTTAAAAAATTTTTTATGACTTTATATTGGGTGCTGGGGAAAAAATGTTGCACTGTTATAATTTTTAATCTTTATCCATTATTATGTGTCTTTAATTTTGCAGGGTGTCAAGCAGCACAGGTGAACATGGAAGCCAGGCCAATTGATGCAAAAATGATCACAAGAAGATGCATTGTCACTAAAATGAAAGAGTTTACAATGGCAAAGTATCGTGACTTGATTCAGGAAAATGCTGGTGCATTACTCATAATACTTCCAAGAAATCTCACTGCACTATCAGAAGATGACAGACAGGTGACTTGCATTTAATTTGATCAACAAAATTAAAATTTGAAAATAAAATAATTAAGATCTACAATAAGCAAAGTAGGATAAAGTAGATGTTTTTCTGTTTACTGTTTGTTTAAGACAATGTTGGCAGCTTCAAAATTATGATATTATACCAATTGTTTTGTCACATATTATGTTTAAATGCTTTTGTAAGATTCTGGAAAAAAAAAACATTGTGCTCACTCTTCAACTAAAATTATTTTGTTTGAAAAGGAAGTATATTAGTTAGATATACATCATATCAAACAAAAAATGGTGGTTTAAATGCATGTGGTCAATGTTCTTTGGATTTGATCATACTAAAACTGAATGAATAAGTACACATCTAAATGCTTAGAATAAATTTAAACTATATTGCATAAATGAATCAGGAGATCATTTATGTGAACATTCATTATTTATATTACTTATTGATATTTGTAATTCTAGCACTTACAGACAGTAGAGAAAGATTTAGCAGAGGAAGGAAGCATAAGTATCCCTGTTTACTTTGCTGAAGAAACAGATGAGCTACTACAGATTTATGATGCTATACAGCTTGGTAATACTGGAGATCAAGCAGCATCGGCTTTGGAAGGTAAAACTTGACTGTTATTTCATGTATATTATACGTACACAGGTTGATTTAGTTAACTTGAAATAATTGCTCAGATTACAGCTAACGTATATAATTACTTGAGGATTTATTCAGTGCACAAAAATTTAACTTTGTTGTTTCACACACGAGGTATCCCGATTTGAAATTCACAAAGGGATCTGAATCCCGAGGAGAAATTAAGAGTTTTTTACTGTGGTTACTTAAAATCTAATTGCAATTCCCACGGAGCATCATTCCTATGTGGGAATGGAATCCAGATTATATATACCCATTACTACAAACTTTTCATTAATTGCTCCTGGGGATTCAGATCTGACAGGATACCAGGTGTGTGTTTGAACACCATTTTCATTTTTTTTTAAACCTTAATGTTACAATAATCAAAAGTGATACCAGAAAATTAAAATCAATCACATTGTTTTAAAAGTGATAATAAACTTCTTGCTGAATTTAAGACTGAAATTTGCACTCAGAAGTATTGTCTGCATACTGCAAGTAAGTTCTCTGAAAGAAAATAAAACTGATTTTCAGCTTGGAATAAGTTCATTTCCTTTTAAAATGGAGTAAAAATGAATTATAAAGTCCTTAAAGTTATTTCTTTGTATTATTACTGTGTCCACATCCATATTCAGTATTGGATGAATAAAATGATTATATGGTTATTATTTTAAATATAAATTTCAGCCTTGATGAGTGGAGCTAGTGCTAATGGTTTTCAGATGGTAGTAGGCGGACCTCAGTCAAAAAGCCTACCAGATTTCCAGATAACCAATATACAGGTAAAATAATATTTATAAGCTTTATTCAATACAGATAAAAAAAAAGGGGGTGGAAGATACCAAAGGGGGATTCAAAACTCATAAGTATGAGAGAGACCAACCGAATTATTTGAAAAAACGAAAAACAACAAAAAGACAAAGTTCTTAAAATCAAGTATAATGCAGAGAAAAAGGTCAAAGAAAAAATTTAAGAGATTCCGACATTTTATACCAAAACTTAACACATAACATATGCTTTCTAAAGCAGGCAGTATATAGTTATTGGGGAGTTTGTCCATCCATTGATTTGTTCTTCCTTCTTGCCTAATTTTGTATCCTAAACTTCCTCTGTATTTTAGATACACACGTTATACAGATTATTACTCACATTTTGCACCTCCTTTTTCATTTCTTATCTGAAAGATTTTAAGGGTTTACTTTAGGGTGACATGGACTGGAGCCATATCTGCACACAATAGTACACATTTGTATCGAGAGAAAAAAAGTAGGGTCTGGAGAGGACAAACACCATATGTTTTAATTGTTGTCTGATTCTATTCCATAATCCCTATATCCATAAATTTAATATTTCAGGGCCATCTGTCAGGGTTTGGAATAGAAGAACAGTTACCTACAATAGCTGTAGTGGCTCACTATGACGCATTTGGTGTTGCTCCTGTGAGTTTAGAATATTGTTAGATATACAAAGAATTCAATAAGAGGCATCAATTCATTAAAACTGAGAAACCTCAAAAGAAAAAAAAAATTTGAGCAAGACAACAAAAATGTGATTGTACAAAATTACTATTGAAAGATCCATATTTAAGGGTGCTCTTGATTTTACTTCAAACATATGATAAACTGCCTTTGTGGAAAATATTGTATATCAGTTATATAAGAAATAACTTGCCAGTTCAGTCTTAATTTTATCAAAAGCTATTTTGGTAATTATCAGGCAAACAGGTTTTATAACAAACGTATGATTTATGATGTAAAAGTTATGCAACATTTAGATGTCATTTATTCCAAAAACAATTATGCAAATTGCATTTTCACACACATACTAGTATATATATTTCTGCATAGGAGTTACGTATTCTGTTTTAGATGTTGTAAGTCAGTCAATTTTTATTTTAGGGTATGTCAGTTGGTGCAGATTCAAATGGCAGTGGTGTAATAGCTTTGTTGGAGTTAGCTAGACTGTTTTCTAAACTTTACACAAACTCCAGAACTCATGCAAAGTATCCTTGCTTCAAATTATGATAGAGATGATAAAATTAGTTCATTGAAAGATTGAAAAAAGTTGACACAAATAAAGATAAATTAGTTAAAAGATGCTGTAAATCATGGATATGAATTAACATTATTATGTCTATTAGACAAATAATTACACACTTATTATTACTTCTTTAACTTGTATAAGATACAACCTCATTTTCCTGCTGTCTGGTGGAGGTAAATTTAACTACCAAGGTACAAAGAGGTGGATTGAGGATAATATTGAAAATCAAGGTAAGTGTATGTACAATAGGATCGATTTAGATTAAAAGCAATTGTATTCTACTAAATGAAACAAGTTATTATACTACAGAAAAAGATTAAAAAGGGTAACACTTGATTACAATAGGAATTAAACCATAATAAGAAATTATTAAATCTGATGATCCATTCTGGATTAATGAAAACCCCTAGTGGCTTCTCTTGCCTGTTGTTAGGTGAAAGTAATTGCCAAGCAAGAAAGTAAGCACCTGCAAGATGCCACTAAACCTTCAACAAAATTAAGCAAAAATCTCTATTAAAAGGTTAACCACTCCATCACCACCCAACACAACCACTAAAAATGAAATAGATTTCAAAAAACAAAAACAAATCCCAAAATCAAACAGTGTTAAAAGCTTGTGAAACAGTTTAATCTTACAGTTTGCTCTAAGCCAATAAAATCATGTTATAATAGTCATACATGTAATGAAAAATTTGAAATGAAAGATAAATGAGACAATGTTTTATACATTTAAAAAATATAGGGATAGAGCATTGTATGATTACTGTATTGCCTTAAACAATACAAGTTCCTTGTACAACGAAGCCGTCGAGAAATATCAAATAACCTGCATTTTCTTAAGAATCAAACAATTGTACAGAAATAGCCTCTTAAAAAATACAAAAATCATCTTGCAACAACATAAAAATTGGGAATAGTTTGTATTTATATCTTTTACAGAGTCGAGTCTGTTGACAGATGTAGCTTATGTTTTGTGTTTGGATAGCCTTGGTAAATCAGACAATCTCTTCCTACATGTATCAAAACCACCTAAAGAAGGAACAGCAGGACATACTTTACTACAGGTACAATTGTTAGAAATTGAGATATCCAAACCATATTGAAAAACAGTGTTGCTATTAGGGAAAACTGCTAATGAAAGACATTAAGCCGGTGCAATATATTAACAGACATTCTGCTGAATATATTCTTATTAAACACTGCTTTTGCAGTTTCCAGGGAAATTCCAAAGTTGAGTTGGATGTAAATTTTAAGGTCTTATATTGTTACAGAGGCCTGAAAAATTAACGTTTGTCAATGTGGGGTTACATGATTTATAGTTACTTTTTTAAGTCCAAGGCAAAGAAAAAAACAATGCAATGGATTTTCATATGGGGTATGTTGTCAAACAGGCTTTGTAAATTATCTAGTTGAATGCTGTATAAACATGCCATTCATAAATTATTTTATAATTTAAAAGACTCAGCTAGTATGTGTAATCATGATGTTCAAAATTTATCAGGGAACTAAGAGGATGTCAAATAAACTTTTTTTTAAAGAATGTGATCAAATTTATTTCAGAACATAGAAGATGTCAGCAAGTCATTCTTTGAAGAAGTTAAATTCAAGATGAACCACAAGAAGATCAACCTTGCCGAGGACATGTTAGCTTGGGAGCATGAGAGATTTAGTATCAAGAGGTTACCTGCCTTCACTATGTCAAGTCTTGAGTCACATAAAAACCCAGACCGAACATCTATATTAGACAAAAGGTAAACAAGACTGTTTTTGTCAATGTTTATGCCATCATTCTAGACTGTCTATGTCAATGTTAATGCCATCATTCTAAACTGTCTATTTCAATGTGACTGCCATCATTCTAGACTGACTGTGTCAACGTTACATCCATCATTCTAGACTGTCTGTCAATGTTACTGCCATCATGCTAGACTGTTTGTGTCAATGTTACTGCCATCATTCTAGACTCTCTATGTCAATGTTACTGCCGTCATTCTAGAAGTATTACTGTTGTTTTGCCAGCCTTGTCTTTGTGCATCTTGGTGATGTCATTAATAGTGAGCTTTAACCCTGTATACTATTGCTTCTTTCTGTGTGTTGGCCTTAAAAAAATACCCATTGATATTATAAATGTTAAAGTCTTAAGATATTATCCCTTTTTTGATATCTTTATTGAAAATGGTTAAAATTTCTTATTGGATATTTGAAATCTATAGTCAGTATTGTTTTATAACTACTTGCTGATCATATGCATAATTTTTATGCAAACAAATTATAAAAACAAGAACATTTACCTCAAAAATACAAAATATGACTATCTGTTTTATTATATAGTGAAATTTAAAGCTACAACGAAGGTAGTGAAATTTATAACACAGATTTTATGACACAACATTCAAATAATGAAAAAATATATGTTGTGGATTCATTTGTTTTTGTTGACACCATTTTTTTGACAATTGAAGGAAAATTGTATTTTAGTGGATACTTGATATTGTGGTTTTGTCAACGTCTGCATACAGACCTTTAGGAAATTTGTACTTTGATGAAAACTTTAAACGTGGTTTTACCTATACCCACAAAATAAACAAAAAATGATATCAAACAAACAAAAACTACAGTACAAAGACAAAAAAGTTTATCACAATTTTTTCCCACAAGTAAGTTTTACTGGGTTTCCAAATACAATTATATTGTTTCTTGTAGTATTAAAATATGATTAATTCCATTATCAATTTCCAATAATGATCATTTTTTGTGGTCTTTTTTTTTATAGAGATTCAGTAGAAGTTTCAAAGTTAACCAGAAACATACAGATCCTAGCAGAAGCATTAGCTAAACATGTATATAACTTAACTAGTCAGGGAAACCTTCGTCTCTTCTCAGAAGGATTGGTGAGTAAAATGTAAAAAATAAAGTCCTACCACAGAAATGTTTACTTTTTTCAAATTTTTTACATGTCAAGGTTAAGTTATAAATTTATATAACTCAACATTGTATATAGTTCTTAAACCATGGAAATTGTAGGAAATTATTCAAATAATTTATGGAATTTGGAAATAAGACATCATTTGTTGCTATGAATATATACTTCTATATAAAACCATATATTTATCAGTGTTGCCATTTTAAGTTGAACGTTTTGTTTTATGATGAGTTGTGTTTAGACATCAATATTTCAGGATAATATACCTTTAAGTGAATAGGACCCCTGTCGATTATGGGGTCACTGGTTCAAAGACCAAGGTCACAGCGACAACTAGTTGACTGAAATTTAGGCATGTTCATTAGCACAAATTGTCAGCAAAATTAACAACCTTATTCACTAACCCCCCCAACAATAAACAAAAAGAGAAAAAAAATTTATTCAATGGCTATTTACATACTAATGATACACATATTTTATTGGAAGGAGGTACAGACAGACTTGGTGTCTGCGTGGTTAAATCAGCTCACAGCTAAGTCAAGAGCCACACAGTTACTACACAAAGATCATCATTTATTGAGCACACTAGAGGAAACCATGAATAGATATCTCAAGGATGTTAAAAGATCTACACTGAAAGCAGATAAAAGGTACATCCATGAGGCCAAAAAAAAATACACAGATTTTCCAGTATTGTCCCATTTGATTTTGATAAAAATATGCATTTTGTTGAAATAATTTCATGACATTTGTCACCTAAACTATTTTAAAACTTAAAATCAAAGTTCATGTTGCTTGATTTTTAAACAGGTTTTTATGACGGAAATCTGATTATTGATTTTGCTTTGTACTGCAGGTTGGCAGGCAGCTCCAGTTGTTTCTCTGTGCAGTAACTTTATGATCCCTCCAATCATTGCTTTTCAAATGTTCATATGTTGCTGAATTTAAAAATCGAGGTCAAATTCAAATTTGATGATTTTTACTTCTACCAATTTTAGCACTTTATGTCAATTCTGTGCAATAACTTGAGACTTGTTCAACCTAATGCTTTTCTTACTTTAATATGTTGTTACTGGTGAATCTTTTTTGTAAGTTTTTCTATTAGTGGCTCTAACATGAGCAATGGGCAGTAATTGATGTAAAACTGCCATTTTGACTATTTTCCAAGGAATAACTTGAAAACTGTTCAACCAATGCTCTTCAAATTTTATATGTTGTTCCTAATGACAAAATTGAGGTCAAGTTTCAAGATTGAAGATTTTAACTTTTGCCATTCAGTAGTTATGGCCCTTCATTGTATGAAACCTGGTTTGCTGTCATTTTGATTGCCTCTGGTTTGTTTTATATGTAGTGTTTTAGGGGTTCTTTTTGCCATGATATTATCTGTCTTTTTTGATATGCCGTTTTGATTGCCTTTTTGGAATCTTATTAATTTTTCTCACTATCACATTGTCTTTGAAAATTTGTTGAAATGTTTAACTCCACAAATATATATTTTATCATAGATTTTAAAAAGCTAAATAGTTACGAAATTTATTCATATTGCTGTAATGTAACTAACTTATGATTTTATTTAGACAGCTGTTTGAAAAGATACTCTGCCATGTGTGTGTTACTCTTAATATAATGGGGCCTCGGTGGCCGAGTGGCCTAAGTAGTTACTACTGTAATCACTAGCCAGTCAACACTGAGGTTGTGAGTTCGAACCCCGCTCGTGCGGGTGCACTCGACTGCAATCTTAATTGACTAGGATTGTCAGTTTTCCTATCGAAGGTCGGTGGTTTTCTCCGGGCACTCCGGCTTCCTCCACCAATAAAAACTGGCTGCCACGAAATAGCCCAAAAGAGGTGCTTAAAAGTGGCGTTAAAACACCAAAAATCAAAATCAAATCTTAATATAATGATAACTGACATTGCTCCTTCTGAATAAAAATTGTTTTAATCATGTAGAACCAAGAAAAATAATTTGGATGTCATTTTATAAATTTGTGACATTATACTTGAAAAGAATATTTTTTTACTGCCTTATTATTCTCTCTTAAAATGAAAGATCTCATTCCTCTCCTGACATAGACAATTTTCACATTTCACAAATTTTCGAAAGAATATTATTTTTTTTAAATTATGAATTTCAAAAGTATTACGACTGTTACTATGTTATTTTAATACAAACTGAATCTGGTCATGTAGTATTTGTCTTTTACAGGGACCCAGAGTTTATATTCTATGATGGATCTCAGTATGTCATGAGTGCCTATAAGTAAGTTTGTATTAGATTTCAGATTTCAAAGATATACATTAAAGGACTGGCTCTAACAAACTTTCAGCTTTAGAATTTGCTATTTTAGAATCTTAATGCATTCTGGGTAATATTTTCAAAAGGATAGACCATACATGATTGGTTGACAAAGTCCTCAGCAATGTATTACCAACCAATGGTGTAACTTTATTTTCTTTTAGTAGTGCAATTAATGAAAAAAACTAAAAATTCTGAAGTTTTGAGAAGGCTAATTTGATAAAGTGATATTATATTGTTGATGTGTATGAACTCTCTAGGCCTAGAAACAATGGCTAAAATGAATATAATAAGAATATTTATTGAATCCAATTAAAGGGCCCGTTTCCAAGCATATACATATATATATATGTAGTATTAATTATATAATAAATTTTAAGATATATTACATTAAAATAAATGATTAAACAACTATACTCCATACCAGATGGTGTTTGAAAATAAGTAAAATAGAATATTAACCCTCTCTAATACATAAAAAATAAACTACATCACTACTACATGTATATTTAGTTTTTGGAATGCACATTATCTCATTTCAAAACAAGTACCAATAAATCTTGACACTGACATATTAACATTTTCAGACTCATAGGACAGCAACCAAATAAACTGTTCATACTTTCATCTATATATGTAAAAATGATTGATTGAATATTGATTGCTTTATGTCCAGTGGCAAATATTTCATGCATACCTTAATTGATATAAAACTAAATAATTACATGTAGGTGTGTAATTGTAAATGAGACAGCTATACAAAACATAATTGGAACAAAATTTATAGTTAAAGATCTCTTCTGTCTCCAATAATGAGTAATGCCTTACACAATATGGTAAGCTGGAAAGGGTTTTTAAAAAAAATGTTTAAAAGCAAATTTTTAACAGTTTTATAATATTTATTATTATTTAGAAACAAGAGCACAAAATCTAATATTATAGCTGTTTTGTTGTTGTCGGTATTTTCAGACTGAGGCATAACCCAATGGGTTTATATCAATGCAAAAAAATGTCATAATGTTACAAGCAGATTTAGAGAAATGTGTAATTATGGCATTATATTTATATTTCAGTGTAAAACCAGCAATATTTGATTTATTCTTAGCAGCAGGAATCGTAGCTTACTTAGGAATGGTTTATCTTGTTGTACAGGTGTGTATTTTGCTTGTTGAGTGGTTTTTGTCAGTTTCTGTTTTAACAGAACTCTTAAGGGTTTTTAAGATTTTCTTTTGAACATCACCACAGTTCACCAAGGTTAATGTTGATAATTTTTTCAATGGTGATGAAATGGCATTCAAATTGGATTTTAATTGGATTTTATAAAATGAGTTAAAAATGTGTAACATTACTTTCCTTTATACTTTGGGATACCACCAGATGGAAAAATTAAAATTAAACAAGACTTCAATTTGATGTTGACATTAAGTCCATAGTTTCATGATAACGTTTATTTAATTGTAGTTTTCATTATATGTAAACATTTAAGTTTTTAGTGTGAGTTTGCATTTATTTCAATGAAGCATCCTCAGTTTGATGTTGATACAGTATATGTGAATTATAGTTTAGAGATGCAAATCTCAGAATTTTTATGGGATCCTTTAACTAAAAATTGTCAATATCATACTGAAATTTGGAAATGAATTTACCATACTTCTGAAAAGCTAAAAGCTATAGTGCTATCAGAAAATTAACAATTTATAATATGCTAGCAGGGGTTGTTGCCACAGGCAATTTAAGGATAATGCTCCTGAAATTCTAGCACCACCACTCATGGTTTTCTCAAACCAACCTTAAATATATTTGGAGACTACATGAAAGAAGTTTGAAAAATTTTAAAACCAGTATAATTTTGTGCAACTCGTTAAGTTTACAGTGCATACATACAAACATATATACATATCTGTATAATTGGTAGCATTTTTTTCAGCAGCTAAATTAATATTTTATAAGCACCATCTTTAAAAAAATGATCAGTTGTAATACCAGATCTTAGAGTACTTTGTATTATATGACTGTGCATGTGACATTTGTTTTATAGATTGATGACTTGCTTACAGTATAACATTTGATACAAATTTATTTCAGAATTTCAGCTATGTATACCTCATCTTACAGAAGTTCTCAATTCCAAGAAAAACCAAAGTGCAATGAGAAATGATTTGTTGTAAGTAGAATTTTCCACATATTTATTCCTGAACTAGTAAAAAATGTCTTATATTTGACACTTGTGAGTTCACATGGGTGACACAACTTATCAAGAACAGAAGACTCACACTTTTGAAATTTTCAGGTTTCCTTAAATATTAACGGTCCAATACTAAATTAAATTTAAATTAAGATTCAGTCTAGGTGGTATGTGTGGCAGACATTTTTAGACCTTCCTGAAACAGTTAACCTCAATATTTTGGTGAATATTATTAGATATGAATCTCTTGCCCATTTTTTTTTTCATTTCCTCAACTGGGAATTGCATCTTGAATATGGCATGCTGAAAGGTTTAATAATGGTGTTTATGATGAAGAGAGTTTTAACCACTCTGACATCTAATGTAATTTCATACATGTGTTATAATTGACATATTAGAGAAAAAACAGTTGTGGTTACATATCTATTAAAATTTGTATTTTCTTTTGCAGTGATGTTGAAAAAGATTTACAGAATACTACATTAAGAAACACATTAATGTGTTGTGAATTCCAAAGAATTGTTGTTTGTTCCCAAAAGAAGCTCATATTTTGTGAATATTATGCAATAACTGAACAAATTTCTATGGTCTTGGTGCATTTTGTTGTAAAAATGTTAAATCTGTTTATTTATATTTTATATATCAGGAAGGAATGTGTGTCTTGTAAATTTTTCTACTGAGTTTTGTGTAGTTTAAGTTGTGTACTACAGTTGGCATTTTAAAGAAAGACGTCTGTATGTTATGTTTCTACGAAAGTTGCAAAATTGATTTCTGCAGAATATGAGATTACAAGTAAAGAAGCAAATTTTTATGAACATTTGTAGAATATTCTGTGAAATATGGATGGTACCATTTATACTATATATGTATTTATAGATATGTATGTGTGTTTTTTAAATGCAGAATGAAATCCATGTTCCATAAGTTTTACATACATGATAATACAATTACCATATAAACAGGAAAACTGCAAGTGTAAGTTAATAGCAGATTTTCAATTAAATTACAATTTAATTTTTATCTTTTTTTGCTTTTATTAACTGCAATTTTGATAAGAAGAAATTATTAAAAAAGAAAGAATGAAAAAACTATCTTTATACTCAGTCCCAAATTTCTTTTGATTGGATGAAAAAGTAGTTCTGAAAGTGTTTTTTTTTTAATACCAGATGGATCAGTGTTGAAATTCTTCCCTCTAAAACAGAAATTAATAATATTTTTTTTATTTTTAAACAAAACCAGATAAAAGTTTTATAAAACAACTAAAAAATAACCAAACATAATGAATATCTTACAAATATGATTTTAAATGTTTTTTTCTTGATTTTGACATTTTTGATAAAGGTCAATTTAAGAAGAAAGAAAAAAGTAGTCTGAAGGCATTATACTGATACCAGATATATTGGACTTTTGTAGAGTTAAAAGTCAAAATGTCATTTCCAAATGTTAAGTTACAATTTCTGTTGTAAATGAGAAAGCTCCCCTTTCTGTGTAACAGCGAATGTGTTTGTTTTGAAAGTGAAAAAGAAGAAAACTGGGTCATTGTTTAGTCTTTTGTGAACAATTATAAGAGAAAATTTTCCAAAGACAGTATGTTTTTAAAAAAAAGACCAACATATTTATCTCAATATGAGCTATGGCTAAACTTTTTTCTGAAAGAGGTGTGCATAATCAAGGACCATTGTAGGAAGCTTTGAAAGTTGAAAAACAAATCATGTAAAGGTTTTGATAAGATCACAATTTTAAGTTCATGATTAGGTAACTGTCTTTGGCTTCTCAACTCATGGTTAATATAGTGAATAGTAATGAAAGTTTAAAAGTAAAGCAATTAGATTTTAATAGCATGAAATTGCAGCAGACAAAAATCAGTGATTTTGATGCTTTAGTGTGAGAAAAATACACCCACATGAGAACTCAGATTTACAGAATTGAACACAACTAAGACTTGGTCAGCATCCTTAAAATTTGGTATTTATTCAGTTTTTATCTGTCCTGCATGAAGTTGTACTAGAACAAATATTTGTTATAAAACCTGAAGATAACCAGATTTTGTACTTAACATAAACATTTATTTATACAATCATTTTTGTGAATAAAATATTGAATGTTATTTATATCTTTTATATTCCAAGAAATTGTCAAAAGAAAATTTAAGTGTGAGCTGTTACCATCACTTGGCATCCATTATACATTCAAGTTGGTTATAAACTTGCAATAAATATGATCTTATCTGAGCCCATTTGACTAACAGTAATTGAAAACTTTCAGAAATGGTGACCACATTTACTGAAATAAAACAGAAAAAGCTTTCAATCAGAATTTTTGGGAATAACATACCTACTAATAATCTCCTCTAAAAATTATGGTTGATGACCAAATCCATAACCACTCTTAATTTAAATTGAGAAAATGGAAAATTTAACAGAAAACTTCAATTGTATTATTTTCCAAATTTTGAAAAAAAAAGTTTTACTAATGGATTTAGCATTTTTGAATACAAAAACCTTTAAAAATCATTAGCCCACAGCCCACTTTCACAAAGGTTAACTATATTGTTTACTCTTGGGCATAAGTGCGTTTCAAAATTGGTTTACTTTTGTTTACTCATGAAAACCTTCACCAAATCATTTGAAATTTCAAAATGTTGTTTAGGACCACTAAATAGAGATCAAGTTCAAATTTGATCGATTTGTCTTTCTAAAATAATAATACCCTTAATGAAGTGGAAAATTTTTGGTTTTTCCATAATTACTTGAGAAGCCATTCAAATCCTTTGAAATTTGATAATTTTAGGAGCCATGAAGTACAGATTCAGTTCGAATTTGACTGATTTTACTTTTGCCGCCTTAAATTTTATTTCCTTTATAAAACAAAATATAGCCTTATGTTTGGTTCATAGAAATTAGTGATGCAACTATCCACATTATAAAGTTAGGGCATCTATGTCACATGGACATATTTTGTTTTATCTATCTTCTCTCAATTCTTCTTTTACACTGGTGATGGTCAGTTGAGAATTCAATTTCCCCATTGTGAAATTTCATAATTAGGGAGTAACATTCTAGAAGGGCCTTCAGATAGCTACTGAACAAAGGTAATCTTAATCATGAAGTTGTTGTCATCGCCATCATGACTTGGTGACTGTAATTGTAACAGTCCTGTCCTTTCGACGTTTGTGAATATCACTGAACGCTACCGATCACCAGACTTTTACTGGTAACAGGAGAGATGTCACTAGTTGATCAAGGTCTGTCACCCTGTTGGAACACTGAGTGCACCCTCTTTTGGATTGGTGCATCACACTGTAGTTTTGTCTGAAGTGTTCTGTAGATTGTTGCTTTCTTTTGGTCTATGTGTTGTCTGGCTTTGACAAGAATATTTAGACTCCGGACAATTTAGAGATTGACATATTGTATAAACACATGTCTATTGTCGAGGACTATGTTGCCCTAAGTCTTATACTACTTTGTGCCGTTGAGTTGTCCTGGACATCATTTTATTCATACCGAAAGTTGAAAGATATGCCGTGTACATGAAGAAGAAAAAGAGATTGCCACTCTTGTATCTGTTCATTTATATTTTATCCAATCTCTGAAAGAATTTAACCAACTATCTTTAATTCTCTTTCGTACATTTATTACAAAAAATACTTCTATAATTTTATTATTCTAATTTGTTCTCTCTTTCATTTTCTGGCTTCCAAAACGTGCACCTCGTATTTGAATTTTGACCTAATTCGTTTCGGAATATTGGGTTTCTTTGAGGTTCTAAGTAGTACTAACCTTGCCTTGTATCTGCTCCTACTTTTCCAGTACTTGATTTAAGATAGATATTTCGCATTCTTCTTGTGCACATTTCTGTGTACTTGATTTAGTGAATACAAGAGTGCAACAAGATGCAGCTAAAACATTAACTAGCTGATACCAACGTAGATGAGTTAGATATGTATTTTCACAATTACTCCGAAATGAAGTTATGCCAGAATCCAAATTTAAGAAGCATACGGATTTGGCGACAAATAATCTTGCACCAAAAATGGGTTAATGGAAATGTGAAAAAAAAATTGTTTATACAGATAATTTAGATAGAATGTCTCTCCAGATAGGCCCGAAGCCTAAAAAAGTCGAGTGGTCAATATCTATTATTGGGGATTTTAAAAACTGTCTAAATGTGTGCTCCTTTCTGATGTTTAGAGGTTCATTTTAGTCATCAAAAGGTCAAAGGTCATGGAAAATTGAAAATTTTTGGGCAAATACATTTTTGGTGGAATTAGTTAACAGCACAAACTCTGACAACACAAATATTATTTGGCAATAAAGCTTCTTCCAAAAGAAACATTTTGTTGAAATATCTTGAATTTCGAAAGATACACTCCATATTTAGAAATAAGATGGCATTAATTTTTTGGTGAAATTGTTAAATTTATTATTTTTTGCTTATTCTAAAATATTTGAAATGCACAGTGTCGAATTGCTGTTGAAGAGCTATAACCACAAAATGTATTTGAAATATCGATGTGTTCAGATACCTAAAATGAAGCAATCATAAATCTAAAGCCCTTTGTTATCTGGTGGATAGTGGTCTCATTGGCAATCATACCACATCGCCTTATTTTTATACAAAATTACGTTAGCTTCATCAGAAAATTTATTTTTCACATTTTTATAAACACTGTAGGATTATTTGCTAATGGCAGAAAAGATCACTAATATTAAAAAAACAAGCGTGTTGGAATCAATATTTTATTTTTATGGTTGCAAATTGAAGAATAATTGTGTGTGACAATTCTATGTGCATATAAATGAATGTCACATTCCCTATAGAATGGTTGATCCTAGGGTTTTCAAATGTATGGTTTATACATAGCACAACAGTCTTGCGTGAATATATGATGTAGCTTTAGATTAAATACTTATGAATTGCATTGCAAAGTGAATATTTACGTTGCACCAAATAAAAAGTTCGCCCGTGTTATTACATACAAAGCCGGCATTTTCATGAAGAGAATAATCATCAGCTTTGTGGTATTCTTCGCCATTTGAATATTTAAATAGCAAATTATATGTTTCGCCGGATATAACTGTTTCTAGGCACACACAAATATGTCGGACATGCACGTTCATATCTCATGTTTCATTCTCGTTCATCCACGGTATTTTATTAAACGCAGAACAATGTAAGATACCAGGATTTTTCATGAATTCCTGCAATCTTACTTGTATAATATTATTCTTTCTATTTTAGATGTTACTATGACTCCGAATCTACAACATTCCAAGTGATTGGATTCCTGCATTTAGATGGCGGGGCACTTTTGCATCGTCTGCCAGGCCATGTCATTGTCCTAGTGGCATAGGTGGGTTTTCGTTCACTTAAACTAAGTTTCTGTATTGTCAATGATTCAGAAACCCATTCAGGATCAATTACAAAATAATCATGTTTTGGTCTATTTGGTAGAAATATTCCTCCGTCATTTGAATTAAAATGAGTGGCAGATTCCGGTCTACTCGAAGTGTCACTGCGTGCTGTTGAGGCCGACCTAGGCACTTTGGAATTATGGGAATGTCTACTTTGATGCCCACTGTTCCCCTGCCCATTGTAAAGTCTCATGTGATTGTTGATGTAGCTTGTATTCGGAACACTTTGACTATACCATTGTTGGCTCGTTTTATTACGTCTTTGAAAGGAGGCACTTTTTGTTGGTGACGGGGATTGGTCGGCCATTCTAGAAACTCCTACAGTTATCCGATTCAATTCAAATACTCTCCCAACGTTTACTTTGTTTAAGTCAAGTGACTTCTTGTTTTTCACCCTAAAAAAGAATTATTTAATATTAATACATGAATATTAAGTTTAAATCTTTACCGTTGATCTAAATCTTTGTAATGGGACAACCATTTGGTATTCAAATTAAGCAGAGTGGGTTTTTTTTTCACATTTGCTAGGCTGGCTTATACATCCTTGACTTTCAAATATTCGGCTTTGAGCGTTCCTGATGAAGGTAAATCCAGAAAAGCGCTTCGGACGCATCACATTTATAAAGTGTTGTTTTCATTTTTTTTAATTTATTTTCGATTTTATACACCATTTCCCCCTGCTTAACATAATGTGGAACGTAATATTCCTCTTGAAAGTTTATTTATTTTCAGGACAGGATTGTCGAATCCTCCGGCTCAACTTGGAAAATCAAATGGTGTCGACTTTACAGCGAAAAAACAGTGCAAATAAACCGCTGCACGAATCACTTTGATCGTACGTTCTTGTGTGTTTCACCTTATCTTTTGGTTTTGCTGTATGTTAATGAAATTATGTCAGTCCGTCTTCAAAACTGTTCCAAAACGGTACATTTTATTTTGTTTTTATATGTTCCACTTACAAAGGCGGATTTAGGGGGTGAGGGTGCCCGGCACCCTTATGGAGCTACATTTATAGTTAACGAAGACCTTTTACCGGACCCCCGGGACATCCTTTTTCAAAATCCTGAATCTGCATCTGACTTATACTGCAACACACCGTAGCTCAGACTGGTTCAAGTATACAATAGATCGATACAACATCAGTAATATTAGAATACATCAAATTAATTCGTTACATTTTCTGCTTCATCACATTCTAAACTGTTAATTACATAAACCTGTCATAAAAAGAATTGCAGTTTACATAGAATTATACAGAATTATATTAATTCATATTACTATACCTGAAACTAAATACATTAGTTTAGAATAAATATAGACATACTTCATATCTTCTTCAGATATATTTGCATCCCTAACTTCATTTATAGCATCTTTTGGTACAAGGACTGGTCTCGTCCTTTCTGATCCTGCAGACTGAATATTTCTTGGTGGCTCAGGGGTCTTCCATCGTTTCAAGCAGGCAGATCTTAAATGCCTTTGCCTATTTTCCGCCTTTTCCTTATCTCTATGGAGTTTGTAGGATCTGAGAGCTTTGTTCATAATATAATCATGTTCATTGTCCAAATCTGCAATTATATATTATTTTATAATACAGACTTACCAGTATAGAACGCTTTCTACTTTATCGTCTGCGACAAGGCAGCCATGACAGTTTGGTAAGGAACAAATCGATAATAAGAGAAAATCCATTACAACCGATCACATCATCATAATTTAACGTCTTATGGCGTGTTTTGATGTGGATATCGACATTTTTTACTGCTATGTACAATCTGATTAGTTGAAAATCTGTAATGAGTTTCTATCTGATTTCTATAACTTATGGTCATTTGAAAGACATTGCTTGAGAATCTGAATGACTATCTGAATCACTATTACAAGCTCTCGAAATGACTTTCTAGACACTGGTTATTATTATTTTTAGAAAGCACACAACAGGCGGGCGGAATCCTGGTAATGGATATTTGTTATTATTTGTATGAATTTCATTTTGCCACTTTTCCCGAAATGTAAATTAACTAATAATTATTGTTCAATTACAAAAGACCGATTAAAAAATGGGAACACATTGGTAGGCTACTTATGCTTTAGTTTTAATATAATATCAGAAAACTAAAGGATTTCTTTTAATCAGCTTTTATTATCACTGTATGAGTTAATCCCGGAATACTGTTTTTCAGTATATTGTGAAAATTATAAGGTTAGCCTGAAATATACATGTCAAAAACTATCAATTATCAAAAACTATCCGATTTATTTTTTGAGAACTTCTTGTTTGGATTACACCAGATGTCCAATTTGTTTTATACGAAACGCGCGTCTGGCGCACTAAATCAAAAACCTAATATCTTTGATAACCAAAAACACTTTATGCCGAAAGTTGGCCCATTGTGATGGGCAAAAACCACCCATATATATCATGGACATTTTTAAGAAAGTTGAAGAAAAAACAATATAGCTATAAATGTCATAAATGTTTGAGGCCAAAGCTTAGCGCGTCAGTTCAATGATACAATTAATTAAACGTTAATTTCGATATGTGTCTGAAACAGACCACGGGTTACAGAAAAGTTGGTATTTTAAAGATTTCCAGGAGCGACCCCAAAATAGTAGTTAAAAATAACATTTCGGCAATTAAAAAACGCTACTATTAAATATCTAATGCACAAGGTTAGGTTATCTAGTCTAGCATGCATGGTAAAAACAGCAATTCGTTATCATTAAGAAGCAAGCTTGTTTAAAGTTTTATAGGCGAGCTTGAAAGGCAAGACTGTTACCGAGACTATTTGGCGGAGACGGTGGCGGTTCTCGATTATCATATGTCATCAATTCTTTTGAAGGAGAGCACAGTTTGATTCCTTCTACACCTCGTATTGGACCTAAATATAGGAAAAGGTACTTTGTTTTGTCTTTGGACAGAACTTAATGAATTAATATGAAATTTCAATACTAGTAGTTTCTATAGGTTTGAATAATTAAATGGCTTATGCACTTTATTATAAAGCATGATAATAAAAAAAAAATGAAAAGAAAACACAACATCTTACTATTGTGGTAATTTAAAAAAAAACCAATACATTTATAGAAGTCATCCTCCTTTAAAACAAAATGTTAAGCTAATGTAAGTTTCGAACCCCTTGTTGGTAATTTTCATAATTTTGTCCGAATATTACTCTTTTTACCATTTTTTTTCTTTAAAAATACGTACCATAGGTATGGGCTACTGGTATTCGAATTGGTCCAATCTGAAGACCATCGGGGGTCTAAAAAAGAAAATGTAATGTTAGTTAATTTCAAAAAGGAAAAGTTTTTAAACCTACCATACGAAAAATGAACTTAAATCATTGCGTACATTACCATTGAAGATATGTCGCAATGTCATAAACTCAGCAACCAACAAAAACCACATCAAACGACACTTACCATCTTACTCGATAATAATTCCGAAGATCATCGCCATTTCACACACCTTCACTGTTTATTCATAAAAAGACAATATGTCAATTGACTCTATAACCAGGTTCAAATACTAACGAATCGAGAAGATTACCGTAGAATGTTAAACCTTTTACCTGAAAATGTCTGTAGTATCAATAAAGTTATGGAATAAATGGTTATAACATTGATTTATTGTTGTCTGCTAAAGAGAAAAAAAAAAACAAATTCATGATATCTTTGATTTCTATGTTGAATTCTTTAATTTCAGGCATTGGCAGCTCTTGTCTTAAATTCAAATAAAGAGACGGTCACTTCAGCCCTTTAAATTCAAGGCAAAAATGGGTACTGGAACAAGTCAAAAGTACCGGACTGAAATGTATTATGAAATTCGAAATTTTCGTGCTTATAGATAACATAAATAAATATGAAGTTGGTCTGTATAAAAATAACCTCATTCCACTTTGTGGTGTTAGACGAATTCCTTCCAAATCTCTTAGTCCCACTACTGAAAACTTCAACGAACAAAAGTACACGGTTTCAAAACATGTCTGTATCATTAAAACATCACGCACATAGATCATCAAAATTATTAATTCGCTTTGAATTACATACATTCCTTTAAAATACTAGTTTGAACAATGTCATATTGAAATAAGGTTTTGAGTAGGCTTGTTATTTCAATACTTCAAACTTAAGCATGAAGTGCAAATCTTGATTTTAAAAAGATTTCAACTTATATAACTATGAGTGTCGATATCAATATAAATAGTCCGCGCACAATCAAATATTTGCTCGGATTCTTTCCAATTCTTCGCAAAACAGTTAAAACTGATATAATTCGGTTCGCTTAAATTCCTAAAGAAAGGCTTAATACACAGAACACAATAGTAATTGATTACAAGAAATAAATAGATGTGGTATGCATTCAATTAATAACTTGATTTACGATGCAAAAGGATTAATAATGTACATTTCATGGTAACGTGAGGGTTATTAATTTGGTTTTTAAATGCGATTAAAATTAGAACGTTGACAAATTAGCATAATCATATGATAAAACATAGACCAAGTAAATAAATATACATACATATCAGACAGTTTGTAAATATAGAGACCCCTTGGTTAGATTTGAATAATGCGAATATTCAGCAAAATTACAGTGAAGAAAATTAAGAAGATTTCAAATTCCCACGATGAAAATGCAGTTTTGCATATTGTTTAAAGTTGAACAGAATTGTTTTGTAGGGGTTTAGAGATTAAATCGGCTGCCCATTAAACAATTATTTCTCACTCTCTCCATCGAATTATCTGTGAAAAATCCAGTTCACCGTGGTGTAGTAACACTGTTTAGGATAATTGTGAACCATTGAATATCTTTCTTTTTTCTTTTGTCCATTGTGCTGTAGGTCTGTCCTTCATTTATCTATGAATAATTATTACCTTCTTCGTATATTCAAATTCTTCTATGTCAGAAACAATTCTAATTTTCAAGACTTAATAAAACATTCGCTGGTTGATCCAACCTTTGATCTCTCATACTGAATACTAACTTCATCATATACTCATACCCTATTTATTACAGGATATCAGTACTGCAAATGCATAGTAACACAGATCAAATTCTGCAGGAGACAATTGTCAAATCCATTGTATTGCAATGGCAATCGCAATAACCAACAAAAACAATTGTTTTGAACGACAATCGGAAACACAGATTCTATTGTATCTGCCCTAGTGATAGCCGGAAATAGGGTGTGCGTTTGGTTAACATCGCCTTCGTGTTGCGTCGTGGTAGTATGCCCGATGGCCATGCCAATTTTTTCTTGAGGTCGTGGGTTCGATCCCGAGCTGCCTGAGTCAAACAAAAGATTTCAAAATTAACATTTGCTGTATTTCAATCGAGCATTTAGGAGGAAGAGAACAGACTAGCCAGCTCGAAGTCAGAATTATGTAGCCAGTTTGGAAATGTGTCATTTTGCAGACTGTTACCTTGTGAGCTAGAACATTAAATTCCGACTCTAAAAGTCTTTCTAGTACAAAGCAGGGAACTATAATTATATATCAATAACATGTTATCGTTCCTGATATAAATGTAATACTTGCCGCTGGACATGTAGTGGGCATCGACCAATCGTTCAGTTTGTAAACACGAGAGATTATAAACTAGATCCTTTGCTAAACTTAAACTCATGCTTAAAATATGCTGGGACGTAAAAAATTTCTTCAATCGATCAAACAATCAATCAATCAATCAATCAATCAATCAATCAATCAATCAATCAATCAATCAATCAATCAATCAATCAATCAATCAATCAATCGTGAGAGAGAGAGAGACAGAGCAATAGTACATATTTTGATTTCCATTTTTACATTAATGTTTTCTGTATAAGAACAACTGACATGTCTTAATCACCAGGAGTAGGCTTTTTAACTTTATCAAAGGTAGATTTCGGTTATTTTTAATAATCAAATACCGAGGTTAGCCAATATACATCGACCTTTAAAACATTAAGGAGTATAACATGAAATAAATGTACCTGTTCAAATTTTCATTTAAATTACAGAGCTATTTTCAACATTACAATTGAAGGATCGTAAATAAGTAATAAAATTGGATTTCATCACGAAGTATATATATTTGAGTAGGTTTTGGGGGAACTAAACACTAGTTATGCCTCGCGAAGATCGACATCTTATAATATACCCAAATAATAATAATGTGTGCCCTTGGTTACAACAGTACATAATGCATTTGTGTCAATTATATTTATCAGTGCAAGTTAAATATAAGATAAAAATGAATATGATATATAATTGGAATGAGTATTGCAACACCTTTTCTTCAAGTTTTGTACTTTTGTGTACAACCTTCTGTTTTTGTTTAACTAGCCGTTGGGGAGTTCACGAGTCGATGTTAATACGGAAATAATTTTTATGTCATAACAGAGTTTTTTTTTCATACGGAAATAATTTTTATGGCATAACAGTTATGCAAATCACCACATAACATTGACATATGCACCACACTCAGGAACAGAATGAAAAAATATTTGGCTTAAAGCTTGACATTGATGGGTTATAACAGACATTTACTTTTGTTTGTCGATACTTTGATTTTTTCAATATGTTGAATGAAAACACATACTTTCGTCATATGTTTCTCATGAACAACTGAACAAAAATTACTTCATATTTGGCCCTAGCTTGACAGTGATGATTTGTAACGTGTGATCTTATACACACCGACATCCTCTTTGTCGATACTTTGAATTCAATTTGCGGGTATGCTTAGCACAACAGTGCGCGCAACTTCCTGTAAATGTGCAATAACATTTTATAGGGTCAAGATTAACTAACCATATAGATGAATAATGATGCATAGGGCCAAGATAAACTAATCCTAAAATAGCATAAAAAATTTTCTATTTTTTTGGGGATCGCATTGTCGAAGCTTGTTTGCCAATTTTGCACCGTTTTATAAGTCTGATATGATTAGTGGGGTTGCAACCTAGCTTGAACTTTCTTAGGTTACCAAATATATCAGCTGAGATGTAATTTTTAAAATCCATAAATCCCGACCGAAGTTAGGTTTCTATGGTTATCCGTGAATTTAGACTTCCATAGTTTTGGATGACCAAAATCAATTTTTGTTTTACTGTAAAATCTTTCGATAATTTTTTAAGATAGTACTAATCTAAAAACACAACATTCTATGCATTTAAACACATTAAACACTCGATGGAAATGTATCGATATAGATTCTACTAATGAATTCAGTAAGAAACAATATTTCTGTATTCAACATTGTAAGTTTTAAACTCAGGCTTGTTTTTTTTTTTATAAATATTGTTTATTTGACAATTACTTATCTCCTGTTATGCAGTTGCAGAATCCGTTTCTCCAAATTTTAATTTATGTACAAATTTCTTAGAATTTTTAGATCAATATGCAACATTGAAGTAAAACATTGGCGTTTTGTATGCAGATTCGCAAAAAGTTCGGTATTTTTCATTGATATCACCAGTTATCGTCGCGTCTTTATTTATAAAATGAAAATCAAGAAAACGCAATGAAAGAAAAGACAATAAAAATAAAATTCTGCTGAAAAGTAGAAAAACCGAATAGAAAAGAACTTACCCATTTCTTTGGCAATCGTTTCCCCCAGTGTGACCAACAATCATAAGATGGATAAACCATCATTTCGTGTTAAATACGATAATCAAACTGTTTTAAATCACAATATTGTTAAAATAAACATTTAAATAACATCCAAAGGTACATGTAGAAAACACCACTTTGTGAATGACTATAATTTGTTGATTCAGCCCTTCAAGTGCAAAGAAACTTGGCAAAGAACAAACACGAGTGGCTATTAATTACAAGATTTTAATAATTAAACACACTGGTGAAAATTTCCATTGTACCTGCTATCTCGTAGGTATTGTAAATTCCAGGGCTTATCTCAGGTAATTAAGAATCGTGGTTATATTTTAACCCCAGCATCAGATGGCCAAAGATTAGGTACGAATTGCTACGTGCATAGATTTCTTTCAGCCATCTGTTCGTTTCAGGCTATGAAATGTACATCTTGAATCTACAAATCAATCTAGAGTGCCATGTTATTTGACGACTTTCGTTAACAAGAGTTTTCATTAATAGTTAATAATAAAAAGTCAATGAGTCAAACATCGAATTTTGCGCGCAGAGGCGGATTTAGGAGGGGTGGGGTGGGGGTTGGGGGTGTTTGGGGGGCAGGGCCCCCCCCCTTTTTGTGGGAAAAAATTTGGTTGATTATATAGGGAATCACTGAAGCATGACTGGAGCGGGCCCCATCTTATGCAGTCAGTGGGCCCCTCTTATGAAAATTTCTGGATACGCCACTGGCGCAGTTATACATATATATTTAAAAAAAATGATGCTAACAATACAATTTTTAAAATTTGGAGTTGTAAGATACTGTTCAATTTATCCACAACTTGACTAGTTTTGGGACGATTTAGAACTGGAAAGTTGACGACAATAGAATATTTTACCCTTTAAGCATCTTTTCTGTTTTGTTCATTCTTTTTGTGTGTTTGCGTGTGTTCTAGAATTGCTTAAAAATCGACATATTAAACATAGTTTCACAACAGAATAACTAGCCGCTTTTGAAAATAAACTGCATTATCATAATGATTTCTTTGATTTTTTTAAGGGATGTAATTTCTTTTGTATATAAGATAAGCTAATAATACTGATATAATAGACAGAGATTATTAAGACGTCGTGCCATTTATATACATCAAAATGAAACATTTGTGGAATAAAAGTTTATCATTATTAACTTATCATATTATATACGTGTGTGTACGTTTTTCAAATTGAATGTATATTGAATAAATCACATTGTTTCGGAGTATTAATTTTGGCATTAAGTTGACAAAGAATAGCAAATGAACTTGATATGAAATTAAATATACTATTGATTAGGGAAATGAATCGAAGTCTTTTTATTTCAATTTTACCACAACAAAAAAGCTTGCTGCTTAGACACTTATTTTTAAAGTACTTATCGTAAGTCATTTCTGTTTCTTTTAATATGAGACAAATCATATGAGCTTAACGTTAGCTTGTGTTCATTTATCAAATGACTATTTTATTATCGTATAGAACATATTTATATTAACAATATATAAATATGTAGTGCATGTGTAAACTATAGGCAATTATGTATGTCGTAATTCGGAGGACACTTTCAACTTCAGAATTTTAATTGGATGCTTATAAATTTGACGACGAGATTCTGATTTAAACCTTCAAAATTAAAATCATTGCTCAACTTGAATAAAGAAGCTAATTATATAAAATTTGGTTTGAAGCTTAAATGTTATAGAGATGTCGCAATAATCTATTGGAAAATCCCAGACCTTACTTAAAACACATGATTATTTTCTACCTTCGATATACTCACTACGAATGTCACAACACACCGTTACGGATTTTGCAAAATAGTCTAGCCTCCTATAAAATCACAATCTTTTGAAGTAACGCAGAGGGTACGTTCTCGTCAAAGCAGGGTTGGTTTTCATTACGAATTAACATATTCTCGACAAAGAAGGGTTCATATTCATAACGCATTAATGTATTCTCATCCTGATAGATATAAGAATATGTGGTATGAGTGCCAATGAGACAACTCTCCATCCAAGTCAAAATTTATAAAAGTAAACCATGATAGGCCTGTAATAATTACCAAGGGACATTAAACACAAACCCACCATCACCAAATGTTATATGTTACATTGTAATGGCTGTTTAAGAAATAAATTGGTGGAGATGAATTTAGTATATTCGAACATCCTAATTAATAGATGCCGTTAAGTCACGCGAATAAGAAGGATCGCACGAAAGACTGATTGACAGAATTGATGCAGCTCCATGCAGACTAACAGGAGTTATGCAAATCCATGGTTCTCATCGAGCACTAAACCTTTACAACACAAACAAGGAAGTTTTGGTCTCCCAGCTGTGTTTACATAACCACCAAAATGACCAGTAGCAAGGATTATTTTCGAAGCGTCTTGAATTGAGATCTAACATATCTTTTAAATGGTGTCATAAACGTATACAAAAAAATCAACACTTTAAACTGAAAAAGTCATAAAAAGACGACCTATAAAACCGCGTTAAGTATGCTGTGTTTGTTGCACAGTAATATTTGAACTGGCAGGAAGTGTTAGTTTTAGTATTAACTTTTCAAAGAAGAATACCAAATAAAACAGATACCTGATCAAATAGTATATTGATTGGGGATCTAGTTGTGGAGATTTCATTTAATATTGGGAAATATACGAGGACAACTTGTGAAGTTATTTGCAGAATATAATTCCTTACATCTAGGTATTAAAGATTTTATCAGGTAAAACTGTGTTGATATTGAACTTTTGTATATTTTAAGATACTCTGCTATTGATTTCTAAACCTTAACATTTACTTACATTACAAAGAGGTATATAACATTGTTACATGTTAGAAAAAAAATAACCCCCATGCAGCTTCCAACATTGTTAACTTTTGATTTTTAATAAAAAAAAAGGTTGTAAATGGTTAGAGAAAAACTTAGGTCTTTTTTATTTTACATTTCCATTCAATACCGGAGTTAAATGAAAAGGCCAGTTTCGAGTTAAACTTGTTCAGCACAACAAGATAAACAAGCTACCATAAAAAAACTTGCTACGGGAGGTCCTTATATGCTTGCCTAGTATAATACGCTTACGCAATGATTCTAGATCTTGGTTGACTACGATGACGTGGGACTTGAAGAACTAAAAAATGACGGAGACAGAGCCTTTAAAGAATCGCCTACCCACTCCACCGAATGAGTTTGTTATAAAGATTCGTGTATGTTCAGATAGCAGTAAACGTTCTCATTACCAGAGTTTGTGAAACTAAGATGACACTCAGAATAATAGACATTGGCTGCGTATTTATACACGCTACACATCCGTGGACGTTCATTCAGGACGGAAACATGCAGTCAAAACAACGATGTTTCTCTAGCTCATCTACTCTTGAAGTTCCTGCATCATGACCAATGATTTTTGCAATCTGACAGAATAATCCATAATGCAATTGAAATCTGATCCTAAAAGTTATCCAGTAGTCACTATTATATTAAGCATGTTTATGTTGTCTTATGTTGCTTTCGAAAGTACAAACGAAAATAAGCATTGAGTTGGTTTATACTTTTTCTATTGATAACATTTTAACTGAAAAAGACGGTATGGAAAGACACAAACCAGTAAAAATAGTACCCAGTAGTTGTTACTTGATAAAATTTCGATTACTAGAAGTTCATTGATGGTCAGTGAAACCTCAAATGGCCAACAGGATTAATAGGAAAGTACCATGCAGACTCGTCGAAATCTAAGAGAAAATACAATCATATACACTTAAACACAAAATGTAATAAAAACAGAAAAAGACGCTTATGAGATTCAAATGTCACCTTAGTAAATTCCGCCTCTTTTGTCTTAATTATATGCTTCTTACCTCCACATCTCGGTATTCCTCTGCTAGACGATACACTGACATCATATTTTGATTAATTTTCCAAATTTTATATTTTTTATATACTTCCTTCTCCTTCTTTGTGTTTTAAATAATCCAACAAACAGACGGATGATTATTTACTGTTGTAATACTTCAAAACGTCAATGCAATTCAGAAATCAACAAATAAGTCAAACTGCTCCAATTGCATTGCATGTTTAAAAACCATTTTCAAATATATGTTAAAATGTATTTCTTTTTCAAAGCATGTTAAATTTTATGTATATCCATCCAGAATACTAATTACAGTATATCCTATTTATTTTAGGATTCAAAACGAATTTCGTATAGACTTATTCATTTGATTTTGATTTTAAATCACCGTATTGACACAAAATGTATATAACTTAAAACGTCATTACGCATGGTTCAGTTTTGAGAGATTATCAAAATAAGATAGAAACTTTTACCGATGACAAAACGCCCTTCACATAACAAATCGATTCGGTTGTGTTTACAGATATATATTAATTTTCTGTAAGATTAAAGAGTCGAAAATTAATCAAAATTTGTCGTCAAGATCTAGTGAAGGAGTTAATCATGTTGAAACGGATTGTAAAGTTACGCTAGGGTACATTTAAAATGCTTGATTGGATAACTTTTCTGGAAATAGCCACCAGTGATTGATTAATGAAACATCTAATTTGAACCATATTTGGACGAAAACTTTGTTCCTGCGGTATTCGATCACATTGGAAATCGAGGATGGATAGACGGCGGATGTTTAAAGTACAAAATTGTTTCAGAAGCTTTTGTCAATTTGAAGCTATAAATAGTTATTTTTATCGTGTATAAAACTATTGTAGTGCAACCCGTCGACGATCTCGCTTATGCATTGTGTTTTACGAGAAGGACATAAGCAACGGTTTTAATTAATGGTCTCTATGACAAACAGCAGGAACAATTAAATGTATATTGAATATCAAGAACGTCAAACAAAATATCACTTAGTACAGTTGAAAAAAATTTAATTGGCAAGGAAACTGGATAGAGAATATATAACCCAAAAAATAACAAGGGCTTACTGATAAGTTAGAAGAAATTTTCTGTCTCTCTAAAACGACCTCTCAAGATTTTTCATTTAATTCAACATGCACAATGCAAACTTTTCGTTATCTATTTGATGTTCCTGGTTCAACCGGAGAGAACATAAGGGTCGACTGTAATGGTAAGGAAATGTGGTCTCTTTTCTACCCCGACAGAACAACCCACTTTATAGAAGAGCGTTTGTCTGGCGCTGTGCGGAATGTATAAATACGAAGCAACACCTAAGTGGATTGAGAGTGTTAGATCTAAAGCCTAATGTAGGGAGAGTACCACGTTTCCCGTACGGGAAAAGATCTTGTATCAACTTTTTAAGGGGTTCGTAGATGCATTGCCAGTTGTAATGCAAAATTTACCCCCCACCCCCTGTCTGAAATACCCTCGTTTCTCATTGAGTGTTAATTCCCCGCATTTTATCCCTGTTAACTCATTTTATAGAACCTACTTATTGAAACAATTGTTGAATTGTTCTTGTGCTGAATATGCATGAAATATATTTGCCACTTAGTTTTAAGCGAAAAGCAATCAATCTATCAACCGGAGGGAAATTGGCGTCAAAACAAATTACAATGTGATATTCTTTTAAGACTAGATATTTATTTTAATCCATTTTGTTTTCTATTTCAAAGCTATGTTTGCTATTTTTTAATATCTTAGGAAAAAAAGAGAAGAAATGAACAGAAAATCATAAGTATTCGATCTGGCTTATTCTATCTTTTCCGACAATTGAAATCATTAGAATTAGCACAATTCAATATCATTTAAAATCAAACGTATCCATTTTGTTGCGATTGAAGTGCATTTGTGGACTTAATCTCCATCAAGGTCAGAGAAGGATGGACAGAAAAAAATACATTTAGGCAAAAAACTAACCAAAGATACCAGCCTATAAGTTTGCATGCCAGACGCGTGTTACGTCTACATAAGACTCCTCCATGACGCTCGAATCATATCAGGTCCAAAGCTAGTCCAAAGCAAATAAGAAGTTGAAGCAAGAGCTGCTGTAACTTTAAGGGACAGTGGCCATAATCATATCTAAAAGCATTTGAGAATACCGAGACACGTGCGGTCTTCATTCTTATATCGAGATATTAATACGTAGCCACGTCCAGTCGGAATGACTACGTGCTAAAAACATACTCATACCCAGTACCGACATATTTGTCAAAAGCTAGAGCTTATAAGAGTTTTCTTTTATGTACGCTCTTAACATATATGCATACTATTGTAAATTTTGATCGAGCAGTCACAGATAAATTTACGGTTTAGAATTTCATGCATTGGTATATAAGGATAATTTGTTTTAAAATTCAAGTTCTTTAAATAAATTATCTCACAATTTTTCACAAGGGTTACAATGAAAAAAAAATGCTATTCATGTTTAACGTCATTATGACTATTACATAATCTTGTTCCCATTTAATTTTTTCTAATCTTTCTGTTTCTTTATTGAAGTTACTGACGCGAAATTTTATAATCGTCTATTTATGAAAATAATCTCTCATCATAAAAAGTCTTCTATACACGATCTAAACTTGGGATATTGTCATTTCTTTTTGATTCAGCCTTTGATTTACTTAGCAAGAATTTACACTGAAAACATAAACTCTCTAAAAGAGGCTTGTATGCTGCCAAAATCTCTTGACAACACCGGAACATATTCTTAGTATACATATGCCAAAGGTATTCTGCCTGGACTTGGTAGCCAACTATTTCACAAAATAGAAAATTTGAAAGAAGTTAAACCACTCAAAATTTATTATAAGAAAGTGACCACAACCACGAAATTATAAATGGTAGACATTTTAGAATTTCTACAGATGATAGACTTTGCAAACTATGTCATAGTCTTGAAAACCAGAATCATTTCCTCTTAAAGTGTTATATGAATAAGAAATTAAGATTAGATAAAAAAAAAAAGGCTGGAAAAATGAATTTATGTCACTTCCAAAAAAGATATTGAATTAGTAAACGCTTTGTCAAAAGAACTTGTTAAACTAGTCGGCTTTTTTTCGAAGCAGGCATTAGAACTGGTCAGTTGTACAATTCCCGTCTGGTAGACAATCTGGATTAAAAAAGAGCATAATTTGCTGTTCATGATGTATAAATACACAGCCACATGTATTTGGAATGGGAAGAAATAGATTCGATGTCCCGTGTTGCAAGAGTTCAACGCTCTCTGCATGTTACATAATACCTACAACTATTTAATGGGTCCAAAATGACCTGCTGTAAAGCAAAATTTCTACCCTTAATAACTTAATAGGCCTAGATTTGCTTTTAACAATTTCATGTTACTATTATGTTCAACAACCACTTATCTATACTTTTCCACACATTCATCTGTCAATCATTGATCATTACCTTATTTTATTAATTGCAAACCAGCAAGGGATTTGATTAAAAAATATCTATACCATATGTGGCAGTCCAAATTTCCGATCCTTCTTTCCAGTCAAACCATTTTGTAAAACCCACCTTATTGAGTAATTATTTGATTTGTTTTCGTCGTCGATGCTTGCAATATTTGCCACTGGAAGTTCAGCAAACCAATTTTTGTGGAAAATATACTTTTTTAACAATTTTATTTTAGCACTTGTCCATATTTTTTTAATTGATGCGGCAAATATAAAAATATCAGTTATGTGAGTTCTTGAAAAACGGGCAAGAAAAACAACGTTTAAGTTCCTATAAGAGAGAAAATAACAAAGGTCATAATCAAATATTAAAAAGCGAACAACTTTGACAATATCGAGAAAATCACTAAAGAATTAAAAAAATGTCATGTTCCTGACATGGTTTTGACATTCTCTAAAGGAAAATGGGAGAATGACTATATATGTTTACTAGGTTATCAAAACAACATCAGTACTTTTGATAAATGAAAAATAATTAGCATTTCAAACAATTACTGATTTTTATCGCGTTTCCTTAGCAGAAAATTACTTTAAAGATAACACTTTGACAACTTCAAATCTTTCAGTTTTTTTAAAAGGTATGATTTCAGATTAAACTAATATTTCATTTTCTATATATCTAATTTCACAACACTCTGACCAATATTTGTGTTATTAAAAGTCACTTGAAACTTTTGTACTATAAGAGTGTAAAAATATAAATGCCATTCATTATTCAAACCTCAAATTTCATGTGACCTTGTTTTCGTTCAAAGCTTGAAACTCATTAAAAAATATACTTTGGACCACCTAAAGATGTTGAAAATTCAAAACACAAGAATATTGATTAATATACTGCAATATATATATATATATATATAGTTTTAGTTCTGATATATTTGCAACTGCTTTATCATATGGTGAATTATCTAAGTAAGTGCGAAAGTTCACTTTACACTCGTTTAAAGATATACATATATATGCATCAATTTTAGTAAAAAAAAATTATAGGCCTTATAAAGCCGTTAATCATGTATAAACTGTTGCCAAAGTTACATTGGTCCCTACGATAATCTCTGATAAGAGAAGATGGATACATCAACATACAATGTAATTAAATACCTGTGACCCTATAGGGAACGTTCATTTGCACAATATTCGAGTTTTTCATTCCTATATTCCTACATATTATTACATAATTTCTACAGCACAACAATTAACTGTTCAATCAGATGACCACGGTGAAATAAGACCAAATCTCTCGGGTTTTAACACTACAAAAGAAGAGACGGGAGATATAAAGGGAACATTCAAAACTCATAAGTCGAGATAAACTGGCAAAGCCATGGCAAATAAACGAAAGACGACGAAAAGTCAAACAGTCCACAAAACACTACATAGAAAACTAAAGACGGAATAACACGAACCCTACCAAAGTAGGGCTGATCTCATGTGCTCCAGAAGGGTGAGCAGATCCTTCACTACTAGTTGCACAAGTCGTGCTTCTCATTGTAAGTACAAATTTGGTTATGTCACATTTAGGGAAATGAACGGAGATGTGCTAATCAAATTTATCACTGGAGATAAGCTCTAACAGCTAGCTATAAAACCAGGTTTAATCCTCCATTTTCTACATACGGAAATGCCTGTACCAAGTCCGGAATATGACAATCGTTTTCCATTCGTTTGATGTGCTTGAGCTTCTGAATTTGTCATTTGATAAGGGACTTTCCGTTTTGAATTTTCCTTACAGTTCGGTATTTTGGTTATTTTACATGTTGACAAAGTAAATAAATGTAACGATTCCGAGTGGATATGTGTTTTTAAAATCTCAAATATCATGTAACCGCGTTCTTGCTTAAAGTTTGAAAATGATTAAAATTTAAATCATTTGTACCACCGAAAGAGTTGTCAGATAAACTCTAGTTTATTAAATGTAATTAACCACTTAAATGAGGACGCAG